TTGCATGTGTCTACCCTGATGCTCCAACGGCAAGGGTTTTATACGGGACCGGAATTGTCTCCAATAACAATGCCAAGGATGCACAGGCTAGCATTGTTTGATGGCCCCATAATTAAGGTAGGTAAGCCAAGGCATTGACTCGAATCAAATCACTATCTGAGATCTAGGGGAAGTAGAGGTGAGGGAATTGGGCTACCTACAGGCAAGGTTGGGCTTCTTTTTACTGTAGGCATGTTAAGGAGTAGGTCCAAACATAACAGTCAACAATGTGGGCTGATGTGTCAGACGTGAACGTGAAGCTGTTATCTGACGTTGAAAGCCATGTAGCACTGCACACTAGTACAGATGGGATTTGATGTTACCGAAAAGGTGCGGACTGGCGAGAAACGTGACATGAACGTAGAAGCATGACGATGTCCTGATGATGCAGTAGGTTATTATGAAACCTTCCACATGGCATTATTTCATGGTGAATTGATCAGATACCAGTAGAAGATAAACACTGACCTGGGTCTCTGAGATCTGATAAATCTGTGTGCGAGCCAAGGTACCTAACCATCACCGAGACTACCTTAGTTACTGGTAGCCTACATGTGCCGGATGCCGATGCGTTAAAGCTAGCAGAAAAAAACATTTATCGGGAAGCCAGGTGGGTGTGTTGGCCTGCAAAGCTCCATTGTTGATGGACTTTCTTGCCGGGCGGTTGATGCGCTTGTTGGGAATATTCCGCCAAGACAATAAATCTCATCTTTGACAAGATTCGTCCGTCAGTGGAGAGGTAGACCCGTTTAAGTATTCCGGGAAACGTTGTTGCCAATATGACACATGGTGAGCCAGCTTCACTACAACTGGTGGCAGCACGTGCGAGGTTGAGGTAGGACAAGACGGCAAGTATAACTGCCGTTGTTTTTGGAGTATTCCAAAGGAAGGGCGGGCCGGGGAAAATTGAGACCGCGTTAGGTTCAGCTAGGCATGCACTGGAAAGGTCTGCCAAAAGGTGCGGCGATACAAAGCACGAGGGTTGTTGATGCCCAAAGGCACGGAGACTGATCCCACTGATAAGCCGACTTCGGCAGTAGACCAGATTTGATTGCGTCATCGAACATATTTAGCAGAGTAGATTCCAGATCAGGGAAACATCGCAGAGGGAGAAGGTATATTTGAGAGGGGCTTCAGCGTGGCTAGGGATCAACAAGATTGTCAGTTCAGGGGCTCACTCACTCAACAGAGGCAATCAGAAGCCAGAACTAATTCCTAGCTGCAGAATGTCCGGGTTTGGTGGGGAGGCACGGAGGGCACCAACAAGGAGGGGGTCAGACCGTCAGACTGCGGGGCATGCTGTCCTCAACGTTCACTGGTCTCTCCTTGTCATGCAGGCCACCTCAAGTTGGGTTTTGGCTCCCACAAGTAGCAATGCATCATTAGGCAGTCCTTGCGTAACCCATGCTAGCTGACCAGTGACATATGCGGGTAATGTTCCCGGCTGCGTTAGCTTGGGACACCACAACCCTTCCAGAGCGTGGTAGGTACCGGTTCTCAAGCTTGGCTCCTTTGGAATATGGACGACAGCCAAGAGGCGGCAACAAGGATGTTCCTTCCATAGCGCCTGGTCGAAACACAATTAACCAGATTCTGGGCGCACAACAAGCCCGAAGAGTCAAGATCAAGAATGGGTACCTATCCAGGTACCTAAGCAATATACTGGCGATGCGCAGTGTGATGTGATGGATTTACTGACAGGTCGGCTGTCGGGAGAGAGGACTCAAACTTGGGAGGATGTGCAATATGGCAAATATGTTGCCGGGTTAAGACGGGTGGGATCGCCTGGCTTCGGAAGACGAGTTCGAGAGGACAAAGAGATGACCGCGGTGTGTGACTCTTTTATAGGTTCGGGGTAAAGACCGGTCCGGTGGAGAGCCCGAAAGGGAGCTATTCTCCACGCTATGCAATGCAACCATCTACGTCTCTCCAATCACCGGCAACGAATATCTGCAGAAGGTTGCCAGCAGTCTGCATCCTGTGGATAGTCTGGTTGGACAGATTCGTGCGGTGGGCATCAAGCCACTACCAACCGGATTGCTGGTTCAGACATCGTCCACGAAGCTGGGGCTCCCACCCCAAGCTTGGTCTTCCGGGTTGGCGGAATTCCAGGGTAAGGTAGAACCGAGATGATGAAAACCCAAGAGGGACATCCCGGGGCTATTCGATACTGCCGCATTTAACAATGGGCACATGGTCCCATGGTTCCACAAGAGCGCTGGCTTCAGGCTCTTGATGCCCTCCCCAGGATGATGTGGCAGCAGGGAAGCTGGCCTCACCAATCTCAGAGCATAATAAATACGCCTGCAGTTCTGTGGTCCATGGCGAGTCCGACTCAAGGCAACATCCAACAAGATAGCTTCATCTCTTGAGTCGTAGGACATTTGCACACCCCTCAAATCCACGCAACAGAGATCGACAACGCCAAGATGTGAGTCATTGACTAAGGTACCCAGGGGGGATATCAAGCGCGCCATATCATTGACGAAGCATCTACGTAGTCTTTTCTGGCCAGTAAACTAGCCCAACATCTTTCCAGATACCTATTCAGCGTAGTCCGATATGGCTGTGAGTCAAGCATGGATCCCTCTCTTCATGACGATGCGAAGGTTAACCGACCCGCCAGCCCGGAGATACAGTTCGAATTCGCGGCAACTCGGTTCTGTACAAAGTCATTGCAGTAAATGGCTGCATGCTCACCATCTTGGTGATGAATCCGCAACCAGATGGGCAGTATCTGGACTTCAGTTCGACCTCGATACAAACTATAGACGAATATCGCGTCGAAAAGGTGGATGATTGTTGAGTGGAGAGTCTGATTTACCTTGATGTGTTTTGTCGCCATTGCGTGGTCGGATTTCTGCATTGGATACCCTCGTTTTAAACTTATTGTCTGGTACGGCATTTGGACGGATATTTGACTTTCAAGAGAGCACTTTCTAGACTTCTTTTATTTATATACTACCTAAGGTACCTAACGTCTGATCTCCGAGATTGTTGATAAGTAAGGTATCATCGTTTTGGGGTGTGTTTTGGAAATGATATGTACTGCTGCTGCGAGATTTGTGAACGTAACGAAAGTCTGTTGCGCATAGATATGCCTCCAGAAGACCATGATGGGACCGTTATGGTGGAAGTACCATGGATGGGTCTGTCTCCACAGCAACCAACCCCCCGGCACCCATGTACGCTCGGTATTACATTCAAGACAACTATGGGTAAGAAATACGGCTTTGGTTATGTATTTAACGCCAAGATAGGTAGATATGTTTCCAGCTACCTACATGAGTAACCAGCAACAGGTAATAATTCAGATGCTGGACGGTGATGGGAAATGGGAACACCCAGAACATAGGTACGTCATGTAGGTGAAGTAGTGACTGCTCCGGAATGATGTCCACTTAAATTCTCCACGACAAGATCAAGCCTGTCACTTTATTGCGGGGTGAAAATCTGGGGAAAGGCTGGTCCGGATATTATATCAGCCCCCGTCCCTTGACCTCATGGCAACTCGCACCGTCTTGTTCGGTCCCATCCCTGACATGGCCCCTGACAGCAAACTCCACATTACCTAAGTTGACTTCCATCCTAATGACTACTACAACACATGAAGCTTTGGTATGACTGTGAAGATAGAGTCTTTCTCTTTTTCATTGCAGCTGTTGAAACACTTCAAGTTCGGTCAATATACCTCATTTAAGATGCTCGCGCATTTAGTCTGGGGCTTATGGCTTTGGTCATGCCGGTACGGGTGGGGGTCCGATGCCTATCTAGATTGCCACTGCTGGTCCGTTGAGGTCACAACTCGCAACTACCTAGTGACTTAGGTGTGCCAGTCTTGATAATTTTCTGCCTGCCCGTGTTTCAAGTACCCTTTTACTGCTGTTGCACTCCCAGAAATGCCCTGACACCTGCAACCCTTTCCAGCTCCTCCATAGTCTCGGACCAGAGCTTAGCTTCAACCTTCTTTCCTTCCTCTGTATTCATCATGTGGTGTCCCCTGCGGGTTGTCAGTATACTTTTAAGTTCCTTGAATATTTGCACCAAAATGGAACATGGCTTACGAATCGATCTCCCAATTTCTCACCAATCTTCCATGACTCTCCTCTCCCTTCGCATCTACCGCATCGACATACACCCACGCCCCCCGAGTCATCGTCCTTCCTGCCAGACTGGCCATGACGTTGCCGATTAACCTCGCTGGGAAAAACACCAACTTCTGAAGCCCCGGGTTTTTGACCAAGGCTGGATCCACCGCATTGACAATCAGGGTGAGACCATGCTGCTGTCAGACGCGGGCGGTGGCCAGACCAAGGCCGGTGTTGGTCTTGTGATCGACGCTGTTTTGCCGACAAAAGAGGTACATTCTGGAGGAGGAAAAGGTTGGACGAAGAATTGAGAGGTCAGGGCCAACCAAAGGTCACAGGTGAGGGAGTTGGTTTCAAAGTGGGCCACGGCGGAGGGGCGGGATTTCCAGACAGCAAGGAGGGCCACGATGGGGAACTCGAGTAGATTGATTAGAATTCCGTAATACATAACTCATCGCTGGGTGACACATAGGCATAAGATGGGCAAGAAAGCAGATGGACAAGAGGGGATGAAGTGATTTCTTGGCGGTCTGTCACTACAGGTAAGTCTTATTAGACTGATCGAGGTGGGGCTGTTGTTTCGCGGCCAGTGCCATGGATTTCGAACCCAATCTGCGCCACACTCGGTTGACTGCGACTCCGAGATCGACCAACCGGGCGTGCCTGTTCAATCTTCAACCGCAGCGGTCGGCTTGATGGTTGACCACGGCGTTGGTCTTTGGGTCGGTCTGGTCACTGACTGAAATAGACATCATATTCTGCCTCGCTTCTACTTGATTCAAGAGCTTCCCACCCAGACTGAGCGTTATCTCTAGTATTTCGTTCTCTTTTTCTGCCACATCATTGACTCCAAATTTGGCCACCAGGGAAACAATGAATCACCAACACAGACGATGGCCATTATCAGCGCAGGGTGAGCGACCTCGATTGTCATTGCAGACAGCCTCACCCACTGAAAACTGTCCCGGGCTGCCCCCATACCCCGTCAATGACCAGGATGCCCGTTTACTTGTTGCGTCAAAGCTATGGGGTGAACAGAGGCGATTTTCAGATTCTTTCTCTCAAATGTCCAACGAAGCCCTCTATCACGAGTCGTTGGACAAGTTGAACCTCTCCTGCCGCACAGGCTTAAGCTTCAACTTCAGAGAACAAACCGAACAGGAAGCGCAATTTGTGGTTGATCTCGGCGGAAGTGTCACACATATCCCGTCCCCACAACCATCCCCGACATTTAAGCCGGCAGGTTTACCATCCAGGGCTGCCCTAACTTACACACCTGCCAACGCCAAAACATATCCTTCTGCGGAGTGGGAACTCACCAACGACAAACCCCAAGCGAAAGGAGATGGATTCATGCTGTGGAAGGAATACGCGCCAGTGATTCTGACGCGCCGTTCTTCCTCACTCCAGTCAGAAAGAGAGCAGGTCCTCGATGCAGTATCTAGTCTCGGCTTGAAGGGTCCTGTCAAAGGCCTTGGGAAGCTGTCAAGGCCGGTTCTGAACAAGTACTACCGCACAGAGCAAGCACTGGCAGAGTTCCTGATTAAGCAAGATCGCGTCCTACTCCGTCCGCTGCCTTCGCCAGAGACTGGGCAAAGAGAGCTGGAACGCCTAGAAACCGACCTATTCGACACATCAAAATATATGGGTAGCACAAATTATATGACCGTACTCACCTGGTCCGACGACAACCCATGGGGAACCATCACACTATTCCAAGTCGAGACCCCACTGATGGGCTCCGTCAGCCAAGGGGGGTATCTGGAATCTCAACGCCGGAAACCGCCAAACCTCCATGTCCATGTTCGGGAACCGTTTGCAACAAAGATAAAACCAGTGGCAGCGATGGAACACATACCCCAGCAGGTCCTCGTAAACATGCGCATGGATACCGCGATACGGAAGTTGGTTTTGGTTCACGAGCAAAACAGCCAGCGATTTCGCTGGATGGCCAAGGGCGAAATGGGCCACCCCTCCTATGCAACCCTATACCGGCCTGACATGACGGTGCCTATTGCCGTACAAAGGAGTCTGTACGAGCACTTGGATGCTGATGAAGCAGCTATTCTTGGCCACCACTCACAGCGCCGACCGTCCTGCCTCAGTCCACAAGCTGCCTACCAAGATAGGCAAGAGGTCACAGCGGATGGCATCGTAGCCACAATCCCACAGTTTCTCGCTCTTTTACACTCGACTCAGTCAATTGTAGAAGTTGCTTCCTCTCCCAAGCTATCCGACGAGGAGAGGGTGGAGACGACATCAGGTGAACGCTTCCGGCGGTGCTCCATGAAGCAGCCGCTCCAAGGGAAACGGCATACTGGGAGGGATGTTCACGTCGTGGTGCTGTTGCCAGCTTCTCGTTCCGCGTGGGTGGAGGAGAAACTTTTTTGGACAGACGAGCAAGGGCACCTTGCCGAGTTCAGGCAGAAACGATACAAGTCGGTAATAGATAGAGAACGGGACAGGAGAAGGGGAAGATGTTTTGGCGAGTTTTCGGGGAGAAGGGGCAGAAGCCCGGGCGTTGGGGAGATCCGGAGTCCACCGTTGAGTGCTACCCTATGCGCAAGGGACTCGGTATGGTATGAGTGATGCACAGTCAAAGGTCATGGACTTCTTGTTGGCAGATGCGCAGACAGCTTGGATACACAGGGGCCGCCAGCACGGTATCTTAATCATTGATGATGTTTCCTAGAATGCAATGACACCTTTCAGTTGTCAAGTTGCCCGGAGTCTTTAGGTACCCGGTCGAATGTGCAGTGGTATACCTACCTATCTAGGCTTTTCGCTGCTGCGATTGCCTTTATATCCTTCAATGCTACATTAGGCACCTACCTAACTAGGTAGGTATTTTGTCAATCGTCGTTCCAAAGCCCCAATAGCAGCTTTGGCACACCACGGGCTGTCTATAGGAAAACTCCTATGGCTCTTGACCGCATACAGCTCGTGTTATCGATGTTGTTCTCACCGCCAGTTCGGCGTTCCAGACTTCACCTCGACGGGGGAAATAGGGAGCTATTGAACCGCCCAAAGTAGACGCCCGGAATTGCCGTCTGTAGGTAGTTTCCAAGCCAATGGAAACCTTGCTCGGTAGTTCCCTGATGTCAAAATCAGGACATCTGATGTAGCCTTGACGTTGCACATAACGGGTGGACACTGGGCAATGGTAACGTTACTGAGATGGTTTAGCCATGGTAGAACAGCCGCAGTTCCTTACAATAAACGTTAGTGGTTCTCATTTTCTGACCGTTACTACAAGAAGGGTTCCTGTTTTGAAACTCCGTTCCCTGTTGTGGCTGCATGTCAGGGGTTTGGAAGAGCAAACCTCACCGGCTAGCACGAAGTTTTTACCGACCTTGATCGAACAACTATAATGCGGCCATGAAGATTTAGGCAAATGTCTTCCGTTGGAATTTTTCCATGAAGAGAGGCCCAGTGCGTATGGTGCCGGCTTATATATGTTCTCTTCGAGTGCAAAAATAATCCTGTGAAGAGCTTTAGCACCAGTGGCCCTTTAAGACGCGAACCACCATCAACCTCTTTGCAAAGTTTCCGATCGAGATGCAACTTTATACAGCAATCATTTTCATGTGGTCACTCCCTCAAGGGGCCCTATCCCACTGTAAGCGCTTTCTTATACTCCCTGGAAAATCAGTAAACAATACCTTGTAGGTAGCTACACATATTTCAAGCTATACTGACTACAGAAACGCTCGAAGATATCTTCCACCAATTTCTCCATAACGACACAATATTCACTCCTTTCAAGTACATCCGCCCCGTCCCTGCTGAAACGCCACTTCACATCACCGACAAGAACGACATTCGATGTAACCGAGCAGGGGCCAATGGACAGTCAACAAATGTCTTGACAATCACAGCAGGCGACACCGTGGGGTTCAAGCCTACATTTTGGATCCATCATCCCGGGGCATACGCTGCTTACCTCTCTGCCGTCCCTCCAGGAAAAACCATCTCCAATTACGCGGGTGACGGTGACTGGTTCAAGATTTGGGAGTTTGGAACATACCCCAACCTCACAGCAGAGTCGGCATATCAACAAACTTGGTACGTCACGCTTTCTTTCAACCTCCTGCCTTTTTTTTTCCTCTTGGAGCGAAGATCCGCGTGCTAATGATGGACTTGTTCCCAATTGCAGGCGATTGCTTGCAGACCCACTGACATTCCAAATCCCAACGGCCACCCCACCGGGGAAGTATTTGCTACGATTTGAGCATGTGGCACTGCATCTGGCCAGCCAGAGAGGTGGAGCCGAGTTCTACCCTTCTTGTGCCCACGTTGAAGTGCTGAACGCTGGGTGGAAGAGCACCGGTCTTAGCCCAGGACCGACAGCACGGTTCCCCGAGGCACACGAGGCAGAAGAACACGGCAAGTTGGTGTTCAATATATGGGACTTTGATGACGTGAGTGATGCCATGATACAGTCTAGAAAGATAGGTATTGGGGCTGCTGACAAAACCGACAGGTTCAACAGCTCAACAGCAGGAAGATGCCTGGCCCGCAAGTGTGGGATGGCCGCTGAATGTACAGAAATGGCATCTTGGCAATTTGGGGGCGGGTTGGGCAGCGTTCTCGCATTTTCTCCCAAGGAGCCAAGTCAGCAGGCGAGTATGCAGCCAAGAGATTTGATGCTGTGTGACGAACCCCTATCCAGAACCTCTGAAAGGATACTAGTAGAAGGCACTTCTGAACAATCCTGGTTCGGCCCAGCTAAACAGTGTACAACAAATGGCTTGTCTCAATCACAATAGTCAAGATACTAACGATTGTGACTTGTATTGCATACTGCGGAACTGTCTATCTAACACACCGGCCAGTTCCTCCGTATATATAGACCTCAGGATTCTGAACTGATCATGGCCAAGCCGCCCTGATCACGTCCTGATTGGCCCTGCTAGTGATCATGGTGATCATGCCTTGGTCACCCTGATCATCCCCTGATTGGCTAGTCCTTATCTAATCTAACGATTGGCTGAGGGCGTCCCGCGCCTCTCGTACTGTCCGTCCTGTTGGCTTAACAGTGACACGCTGGCAGGGGGTGCTGTAATTGTTGGGGCGTGGAATGTCCAATCTACTTGAAGCAAACATGGCAGGCAGCAATTGTCAAATACGGTATGAGGTGATTATTATACGAGCGAGAGTCAATAGGTAGTACGGTAGGGCCGGACTTAATAGCTTTAGGTTCTATTCCTAAAATAATATACTCTCTAATTAACCCTTAACTTAAAGCTGTTAAATGTTCTTTTTTTAACTTAAATTTTTCTATAATTCTAATATCCTCCGAAAATTAGTATTTTTAAAATATTTCCTTAATTTTTATATAATAATATATATTATTATTTTGATATGTTTATTATTATTAATTATAAGTTCTTTTAAAGTTATACTTTTTTATTTTCTTATAATAATTTTATATTTAATTTTTTAAGTTTTTATTCTAATTAGCTTTCCTATATTTTTAACCTTAATAAAATTCTAGAATTTCATAAAATTATTAATTGATAATACGTTAATGAAACTATTAATTAATATTTATTAAAATACAGCACTTATTTGTGGATTTTACAGTATGTTTTTTCTCGTGGCTTACAGCACTTAAAGGCTTTAAGCCACAGCGCCCATAACGCCCACAGCGGTCACAAGGAACTACAAAGTTTTCATACAAACCACTGTAGCCAACTGAACCGGTAGAAGTTATGGGGATTAATAAGGAGGAAAAAGAGGTTTTGGATACCTATAAAAGGCTCCCCTCCCAATATATTTGGAATGATCTTTTTCTTTCTTAAGTTCAAGTCAAACAATTAAAATCAATATACTAGTTTACTACACTTTTGCAGGGCATAGTTCCCTATACTTGCCTTCTTTCGGTGCTACCTTACACCGTCGTACCTCGCAGTTTAAGAACCCCAGAGTCTTTAGGTAATTGCTTCCGACCTACCTAAAAGGCATATAACTAGCCTGCCGACGACATATCTTAATAAGTTATAAGCCCGGACTTATACTTAAGCTCTAGCGAGTTCCTTTATTTTGCGTTCCCACAGCGGTTTCTTACCGTAAGCCCTATTCTTATAGGCTACTAAGCCCTAGAATTAAAATACTTAGCTCTATATTTATTAACTAACGCCTTACTTTCCAGGCCTTCGTCTTCCATAATAAACGAAGAGATAGGGAACGTCCCCCCCCTTCCTAACTTACCCTTAAGTATCGACCCGACCGCTTTAAGTTAGCAAATCGCTACCTAATTAAAAGCCTATTTTAAAGTCTAGTTTAATAAGTTTATAAAGAAGCTAAAAGATATAGTTATTCGTTAAAATAAAAAAATTATTACGTTATAGGTTTCCACTAGAAATTCGGTACCTCGTTTAAAGGACTCCCTTATACTAGCACCTTCGGCTACACCCACCTCCGCTTCCTTATTATCGATACCTCTTACTCTACCTACAGCTATTATTTTTTTAGTAAAGGACTTTAGTAAGTAAACCTTCTAATTAACTAAGAAAGATAAGCTTTTAGAGCTTAATAACTATCGATAATAGATTTAAGCTTTTATTATTTAATTAAGGGTTATAGGGATCCTAGACTTTATTAGTAAGCCTACCGAAATTATTAATACCCTAACGGATATATTTAAGGTTTACCTAGTCCTTACTATCCGAAATACTCTCTAGTAGGGTCCCCTTTAAACTATTAAAGCAAAAGACTCTCCGGCTACTATCTTCCTACACCTATAAATATAATATACCCTAGCTTAGCCAGTTATTCGGGATAAACTTTATAAATCCTATTACTTACTAAAATTTAATAACTCTTTTACGGTAATAGAATTTAACGCTAAAATTAATACCCTTATTTCTCGGCTTAAGGGCTTAGATATAATTATCTAGGAAACTAACTAAATTAATTATTATTTAAATACTTTAAAATATAGCTTTTTATAGTAGTATAAGCGCTATAGAGCCCTAATTCGTTATTAAACGTACCTGGGCCCGGCTAGACTACTTAGTCTTTCTTTTTTTTAGAATAACCTTCTTATAGAAACCCGGAACTTAACTATTTCGGCTACTTAAACTCTTATAGCCCTACAGTCTTAGTACTTTAAGGCCTAAAAGGATAATAAATCTCCTAAGGATAAGCCTAAAAATTCTGGATCTTTAGGGGGTTTAGGGGGTTTAGGGGGTTTAAAGAGCTCGGGAGGCTCGAAGAAAAAAAAGAAAAAGGATAAATTTAAGAAATATTCCTTACAAGACTCCTCGCCCCTAGCGGATACTATAGAGGTCTCTTTCCTAGTGGGCTTTGATTTTGGTATAGGATTCTATAATATCCTAGAAGATCCCTCCTTCAGTAAAGGAAGCCCTATAACTTACGCTTATAAGGGCCTTTGAGGCGCATAGCTTTTCGATACCGGCTTTACCGTTTATATATATAACGAAAGAAGCCTTTTCACGGACTTTTTAATACTCGAAAACCCAAGCTCGGTTCAAACAGGGGGCGGCCCTATAAGCCCAGTAGGCTAAAGTACTATAAAGGTTTATTTCTATACCGGAATTAAGAACGGAAGGGCCTATTATTCTATAATTTCGCTTTCTAAAACCCTCTATATTCCAAATTTCTTACTAAATATTATAAATAAAAAGCACCTTTATTATTCTAAAGGAGCCTTATTTTACTAAAAGATCTTCGATACTAATAAGAGGCTTATTGCCCTACTCGACTTCGATAAATCCGGATTCTTTTTAAAAGTTAAAGGAAAGAGCCGCCCCGGAAAGCACAGCTACTAATATAACTATAGCGCTTACACTAAAAATTCTAGTGATTTAAAGGACTCTAAGATTCTTACGATCTTTAAGGAATCTAAAGCCCCCGAAATTCCAGAGGGGGTTAGGGATTAAACGCTAGTTATTCTACCGGTAAGGCCTTCCAAAGAGTCTTCCAAGGAACCCTTAGTAGTACTCATCGAGGCTACTATCCTCTAGCATATACGGTTAGGTTATATAAGCCTTACCCTTCTAAAAAAAACCTCTCTAATCACCGAAGGAATGCCTAACCTATAGAAGATCCGGCCTAAGGATCTTATTTGTAAGAGCTATAATACCGCAAAAATCCTTCGTAGGCCCTCCAGGCAGGCCGTTAATGACCCTCTATTTACCCTAAGCCGGATTAAGGGAAATATTATTTCGATCAAGCCTCTTCCACTTACGAAGAAAGCCTACACCCTTATTTTAGTGGATCGGAAGACCCGTTATCGCTTCGTTCGGCCCCTAAGGTTAAAAAAAAATACCACTTAAAAGGCCCGCTTAATAATCGAAGGCCTAAAGAACTCCTTCTATAAATATTTAGGGCACTTCTATTACGACGGGGGAAAAGAAATCTTACCTTTAAAGGCCTATCTCGTAAAAAAAAGTATTAGCTTTAATACTTTAAATCCTAAAACCCTTAACCAAAACGGCTTAATAAAGTATTTTATTTATATTATTCTTAACCGATTAAAGGCTATAGTACTCGCTTTAGGCCTCCCGCCTACTCTTTAGGGCCATATTATTTAACCTATAGTCGAAATTATTAATAAAATAGCACAATCCTCTAAAGAACTCACGCCTTATTAACTTTTCTACAATAAATTACTTCCTAACTAACCGGCTTACAGGCTTAGCCTTTTAAATTATAAAGCTATTAGTACCGAGGTTATAGTATATATCCCTACTAAGAGCCGGGTTTTAAGAGAGAAGCTCGCGCTTAGAGGAGTTAAAAGCTAGCTCCTTACAATCCTTAACTACTAAACCTACCTGGTTTACTTAAACCTAAATAAAGTTATTTAGACTAACTTTATAAAGTTTTACGAAGACCCTAAAACCTAGCTTATAGGGCTACCGAACCCTATTAACCTACTAAAAGTAATAAACCGGTTTAACGACTTAAAGGATAAGCTAGATATTTAGACCCCTGTAAAAAACCTTATTTAAATACCGGATCTTAGAATTTTAGTACCCTCTATTACTATTAAAATCCTACTACCTTAAGCGATTCGGGAGTAACGTAAAGAGTTTAAGCCTATCGACGAAATAAATTATATTAAATTTATTAATTACTTAATCTCTAGGTCCTTAAAAACCTTAGTAATTTAGCCTACGGTTATATCTTTAAAGCTTAATACCTTTAAATAAATCCTAAAGCACCTTAATAAAGACTAATAGTTATAGGTAATATTTATAGAAATATAATAGTTCTTTATAATAAAAACCTTTTATTTTATTAACCGCTTAAAGGCTAAAAAGTAATTAATTATTAATCGTTAAGTCTTTAAGGAAAAAAAAAACCCGTAAGGTATTATAGTAAAGTATAAAGCACGGCTAGTTACCTAAGGATTCTAATAAACTTTAGGAATTAATTTCCTATAGACCTACGCTTTTACTATAAGCCCTCTAACCTAAAGAATTATACTAGTTATTATTACGGTATTCGACTAGGATATTAAATAAATAAATTTCGTAGAAACCTTTTTAAATTCGGAAACTAATTTCGATATATATATCGAGTTTCCGTAGGGCCTAACCGAGTTTTTTTATAGTAATTTAGCCGCTATAACCCTGCTTAAGAGAGCTAGCTAGGACCCTATAGAAAATTAAATTATACTTTTAAAAAAATTTTTCTATAGCCTTAAGTAAGCGTCCTATTTATAGTAATAAAAGGTTTTTATAATGGCCCGGGTATTGGGTTTTAAGCTATTAATTTTAAATATAATTATTTACTTTTATTTAAATTATATAATTTTTTTTATTAATTATATTAATAATTATTTATTTATAAGCCTATAGTATTTATAACTCTAGACCTTAAAGAAAATAATAGGTAATTATTACGATATTAAAGATTTCGGCCCGGCTCGCTATTTTTTAGGTATTTAAATCGAACGTAATAAGCTAAATCGTTACCTCTAGCTTTACTAAAAAGTCTATATTAACGAAGCCGTTAAATACTTTAATATTAGTATTAAGTCTATACCTTTTCCTTTAAACCCAGGGCTTACAGAATATAATAATAAGTCTGGAAGCCCTATAATACTTATAAAGTAGTACCTTTACTAGTAATTAATCGGTATTACTATATATACTATAGTCCAAACGAAACTTAATATAGCCTTTAGTATTTAGTAGCTATTATAGTACCTAAAAGTATTTACTTTAATATACCTTAAGGCTATTAAATCCCTTCTTTTTTACCTATATACTACTATAGATTTAGCTATTAGTTACGACTCGAATAAAAATTTAATACCTATTAGGTTTACGGATAGTAATTAAGCTAGGTATAAAACTAGTATTAAATTAATATACGGTTAGTTATTTATACTTATTAAAGGACCTATTAACTAGAAGTCTAAAAAAGCCTTTACGGTCTCTTTTAGTACCCTGGAAGCCGAGTTTATAGGGCTTATAGAGGGCCTTAAGGAAGCTATGTGGCTCAGGGGATTATTCTAGAAAATCGGTAGGCCTATCCACTAGCCTACCCCCCTATTATATAATAATAAAGGCTCTATTACTACTACCCATAGCAGCAAGTATAATCGCCGAACAAAATATATACTTATTAAATTCTAAAGGGTTAAGGAAGCTATAGCTACTAGAGTGGTTACTATTACTTACCTACTTATTAAGAAGATACTAGCTAATGGGCTCACTAAAGCTCTTCCGGCAGCTCTATTTAATAGATTCATAGAGCTCTTAAATCTCACTAGACCGTTCTAGCTACCCACGCATTACGGCTATAGAGGGGGTATTAAAATACAGTACTTATTTGTGGATTTTATAGTATATTTTTTCTCGTGGCTTATAGCACTTAAAGGCTTTAAGCCACAGCGCCTATAACGCCCACAGCGGTCATAAGGAACTATAAAGTTTTTATATAAGCTACTATAGCTAACTAAACCGGTAGAAGTTATGGGGATTAATAAGGAGGAAAAAGAGGTTTTGGATGCCTATAAAAGACTCCCCTTCCAGTGTATTTGGAATAATCTTTTTCTTTCTTAAGTTCAAGTTAAACAGTCAAAATCAATATACTAGTTTACTACACTTTTGCAGGGCATAGTTCCCTATACTTGCCTTCCTTCGGTGCCACCTCACACCGTCGTACCTCGCAGTCCAAGAACCCCAGAGTCTTCAGGTAATTGCTTCCGACCTACCTGGAAGGCATACAACTAGCCTGCCGACGACATATCTCAACAATATTTTATTATTATTTACGAAATTAATAATTATGAATGTCGATATGTTATAATTTGTTTATAAAATATTAATATTTACTATAATAAACCGAATTATTTAAATATTATTATACTATAGTAAAATACTATTATTATTAATAGATTAAATATTTAACTTTTACATTAAACGAAATTTATATATCGTTTTTTAATAGCTTATAAAAGTATTAAGACTTTAAGCTTAATAATTAATTTTTAAGTAATAAAATTATTAATAAAAGACTTATTAAAATAAATTTCCGTAAACTAATTATTACATTATTTTGTATTTATTTAATAAGTTTATAAGTTAAAGTTAATAAAGTAAATAATTACGTTAATTCTATTATTATACGAGGGAGGGTTTCCAAATAGCACGGTAAGGCCAGACCTAGTGGCTCAGGTCCTACTGCTAAGGTAATAGTTTTGCTTATAGTGGGTCAAGATGACCAATCCACAGCAATATGCTGCTGTTGGTAGCTAGCGTCGGCGATCAATCACATCTTTCCTTCATGTTGTGCAAGGGGCAAAATCCTTGCGGCCGAACGAAAATATTCCCTCCTCTTATCCCCTTCCAGCCCTCCCAGACATCATCAGTGAACTGCGTGTCATTGTCTCTACCTACCTTATCTACTCAACAGCATGGAGTACGATCCATTCAACCCCGAACACCAACCCAAAAGCGAGCCACAAGTGGCTGTGACGGAGGCCTATACCTTTAACCAAGGCCCAGAGAAACACGAGACCGGATTAGCTCAGAGTCAGGCCTGGTGGCACGCCTGGTGGTTAGAAGTAGTGTCTATGGTTGTCACTATTGGATGCTCAGTCGCCATCATCGCTATTCTCTGTGCATTCAACAGGCGTCCGATTACCGACTGGACCGACAAAAGCAAACTTGCGGAAATCATCAGCCTTCCAACGACGTTGTCTATATTGGCGACAGCTGCGAACGCCACAACCACGCTCGTCCTCGGCAGTGCTATCAGCCAGTACAAATGGGTGTATTTCAAGGCCAAGAATCGTTCGTTGGCTGATCTGGATCTGTTGGACGGGACCAGCAGAGGGACCCTGTGGAAATGCCTGGAGCTATTAGTGAAGAGGATGAAGACACTGGCGAGCTTAGGTGCTATTGCCATGATCCTGTCACTCGCCGTCGGTCCATTCTATCAACAGACGGTCCAGCTTACCGAGTGGGATGTGCCAAGTGACGACGGGAAGGCCTCATTTGGGCTTGCTCATCAGTACATCGCTAGTGGGCGTCCAAACTTTGCCGCCGGCGGTGGTGCTGACGCCAGTTTGCCAAGTGCCTTCCAAGTTGAAGCTGCAACTGCCGACAGCCCGATGCAGGGTGCAATCTACAGAGGGTTATTCAACCTTGATGGCCCTGCTATATTCAACTGTACCTCGAACTGCACATGGCCAGATCCCGGGGCGAGCAAGCCCTATGTCTCGCTAGGCTTTCGCAGCGATTGTGCGAATGTCACAGAAGCAACTCTGCGTGCTTCAGGGTGGGACGATACCATCGAAGGTTCCCCTCGAGGTATAAATATCACGACACCGGGAAATGTCACATTGGACACCCGCTTCTCGTTCACTTCGTACCAACCCGTTGTTGTTGTTGCAAGCAAGTCCCTCCTTTGGCACCAGATCAAAAACATCAATACCTCTCCATTCGACTGGACTGGTGATACTGTGGGTCACACTATTGCTCGCATGGCTGTATTTCGATCAGAGTTGGATCCTCGCAACTTTGAACTCGTCAGCAGCAAGATGCAGGTTACCGAATGTGACCTCAGCCTTGTCGCCTATCGCTATTCCGATATCTCTGTATCCGACAGCAAACTCACGATCGGAAAGGAAGAGTTGATTCGGCTTCAGTCTGGCGTTGTAGAAAGACAAGATGACGGGAGGTTCATCGGTGTTTTTGACACAGTGGTGGATTCCTCCACAACGACAATTCCATTAAAGGTGTCCTTGGCAGACATTGGGGCCCTCACTTTGCTTTTCACCTCAACACGATTCATGGGCACGCTTTATGCAGGCGAGCCGCCCGATCGTAGTCGGATTCATCGGCCTTCCGGCATGGGGGATGCCTTTCTCGGAGGTGACATCACTGACCAACTTGTCATTGAAAGATTTGAAAGAATGGCGGAGAGCATGACTCTTCAGTTGCGGTCAACCAGCGATGTAACCGCTACCGGTATTAGTGTCTACTCTATTGTTCACTACAAGGTTGAGTGGGCATGGCTTGTTCTCCCGCTGGCAGTGCAGCTAATTACACTGGTTTTCTTTTTCTGGGTCCTTGTCAGGAATCACCACAGTGGACTGCAGCATTGGAAAGACTCGGCACTTGCTGTCGTCAGTCACAGTCTACAGGCGGCGGATGAAGACATTCACCAGGTGGAAGTGATTGGACCCATGCATGTTGAGAAGATTCAGGAATTAAAAGACTGGGCCAATCGGACAAAGGCAAAACTGCTGTAGAATACCTAGACTCGTAGCTTCAGGCTGGATAGGTTACCCAATAAAACCACTACACAGAAGTGTCAGGTACCTTGCTCTTCTTGTACTCACCTCTCACTACCCGGTCACAAACATCCTTCAACACTCCTCCAACCCACTTAAAGTCCTGCAAGTCAAGGTAAACCTGCGCGCTGAGCCTGGCCCACCACCTTCCCTGAAAGACAAAGACTGCTACAAAAGTCTGATACTCCTCCATGAGCGTGCCGAGGACGTAGGAATGAACTGCTGGTTCCTCTCCACTTGCCTCGATATCCTCTGCCGGTAAAGGCAACGCCACATTGGTCATGGCGCATGCAGACATCGTTCCCTCCTTGTTATCCAATACCTCAGTTCCCAACGCCTCCGCCACCAGCCTGCCCCCTTCCCTTGCCATCTTGATCAGCTCGTCTCTAATTCTCACCTCACCACCAAGAACTTCTTCCCTCCACTTGATCGCGTCTTTGACACACAGGTAAGGCGCGTTATCCACCGTCCCCACAAACTGAAAGCCGTTCACGAAATAGCCCTTCCCATTGGGCGGCAGCGGGTTCACCCTTCTCAAGTTCCCACCCTGCAGTTCAGCCGCCTCAAACCCATGCGAAGTCGGCACCGTCGATCTGATCAGTCCTTGATTCCTCAAAGGGACGTAAAAGACTGCACAACCCCTCGGCACATGCAACCACTTGTGACAGTTGGACACAAAAAAATCTGGATCAACCTCGCCGAGGTGATTAAGCTTTACCATGCCTATCCCCTGCGCGCCATCAACGAGCGATAGAATCCCATGCCTCTTGCATGAAGCAGTGATGGCTTCGAAAGGGAACCGGACCCCGGGATTCGAGCTGACCACATCAAATAGCGCCAGCCTGACTCTCCTCCCCTCCTTTTCCACCTCTTGCACCGCTTTCTCAAAGTTCTCAACGATATCCCCGTCTGGACAGGGGTATAGAATGGGCACACATCGACTGTGAACCAATCCACGGTTGTACTCCACCACATAATCCACCGTCTTTGCACACCCGCCGTAGATAGTCTCAAAGAACAGGATCTCGTCTTTCCCATCCTTGTTCCACACGATGTTACGGAGCACCGTGTTGACGCCCATGGTGGCGTTGGACACAAAGACGCATGTCTCCGTTGGGACACCCAAAAGCTTGGCCACGGCAGCGCGGGACTCATCGAGGAGCTGAGGGTATGTATATCGGATGAAGGGATCGGGCTTCGCTTCTGCTTGGTCTTGATATTGCCTCATCAAGTTGCGGATGTGGGAGGGGATGGTGCCAAATGAGCCTGCCACGGTGTCAATAAGTCGATTGTTTGCAGTCTGGCTAAAAGGAGGAGCAAAGACCGGGAGATGGACGAACCGTGGTTGAGATTGCGGTACGAAGGATCGAACAAGAATTCAGAGTCGCGAAGGGCGCGGCCAAACTTGACAGGTTCAGACCTGGTCCGGCCGCATGTGGGTAACTCTGAAGTGGTGTCGCCCATGATGACTTGGTGGTTGACTGGGATGCCCGGAGTACTAGGAATGAAGCAGTTCAGATCAGGGTGGACAATATAATAAGCATGCCCTAATAACTCGTCAAATGGATTGGTTGTCATGAGTCAAGGATGACTCGACGTCAAATAGTGAAACCCTTGCACTTGGATCCTCGACTGATCTACACCCCCACTTGCCCGGTCAACGGTTTTGGGCCAAGTTGGTACCACATCTCTCCACACTGGACTTGCATCGTGCATAGCTTGGATAATAACGTGATACCGATTGTATTCCAAAGGGCGGACTCTTCACAGTGCCCCATGTCCCGGTGTGGGGACGCCGCCAGTCGGCTAGAAAGGGGTTTGTGTTCACAAACTAGCAAGCCGCGGCCAGCCGAGCAACCCTTCAACATGAAAAAAGACCACTCAAGCTCGGCTACGCTTCCGAATACTGAGGTAATCAAAACCCCTCACTGGTTCAGTGCTTCTTGTTTTGAGCATAGAAGAAATTGGCACCTAAAAGATATCATGAGCGACTGCTGTGGCAGGTAATATATGGCGTACTTTGGTTGGAAAAATGACTCACCAACAGGAACAAGCCCATTCTCTGCAGCCCATTCTCTCACCCCTTTCGTGTCTTTGTCTCCATCATTGCCAACGTCATATCCCCAATGCTTTCTTGCACTCGGCCGCGACAAGTGCAGCTTTTCAGTAGTACCGTTGGCAGGGGCAAATGCCAACAGAACATACCGATGTTTCCCAGTCTTCTCGGGCGGTGATGGAGGCTTGTACCCCATGATCTCATCAGAAAAGGTAGGGCTAATCCCAGATGAGGTCGGCACGCCTATTGCGATCCAATGGCAAAACTCGGACCATTTCGGATCATCGCGCGATGGAGCATCCGGATCCGTCATGGCGATAACGTAAGTAACGCCTTTCTTCCAGAGGGTAGGCTTGGATGCCATCAGTTTCACTGAAGGGGCTGATTCGAGCAGGGAAGGTTCGAGGGTGTTGCCAAGGTCGGCGTGAGTGTGATGATGGGAAGACCATGTGGCGTTCATCAAAAGTGAAGGAAGAAAATCGTCAATGACTATGGTGAAGCTCAGCATCTACCCTGGTGATCAACATGAGTTCTGATAATATAAACTTACCAGTAGGGATGATTTCGGCATCCTGGAGCCTACGGTGTAGTACCTCACGTTAGTTTGGTCATCTAGGAGCAAGCGGTCAAACATATCGTACGCTTTCTGTACATCGTCTTGGGTGTTCCAGATACTATTACCGGTCTTCGGGAGAGGATGCTGCTCGTTGACAATAACAATTGCCCCAGCAGCAAAGGGTCCAATGAGTATAAAGAGGTGCAATAGGAGGCTGTACAATGTCATTATGGTTATTTCTCTGCTTGGTGCAAAATCCTGAAGTGAGCTGGACACGAGGTAGATACCTAGAATGAATGCAAACACCTACCTACACAAAGCTCAGTTGAGCAGTGGACCCAAAATGATGTCACCATTTCTACCTTAGCTGCATCACCCGAGCCCCACCTCCAACAGAACTGTATGCAACTGCCAAAATAAACTGCAAACGCTGGTGATTTTCCCCACTTCTCATGGTGCATTTACACATGAAGGATATGAGCAAGCTCAAGTACACAAATACCATGAATTTCACTACCTCATACCTCATGTGTAATTATCGATGAAGAGTGATCTTCTCTGTGATACCTATGCAACTCTATAGGTAGGTGCGGCGGTAGCCCGCGCTTATCTAATCATTCCTCGCAATAGAAAGCATCCTCTTATTGTGAATAGCCTTGGCTAAACATATATGTGCCCACATGCACCGTCCATTTAGTGGGGACCAGGCTCGCAGTCGGGAGCGTCGATGGCCTCTGTCAACACCGTTAGAACATGCATAAGTAAAGGCAGCAGGAGTGAGAAGGCGTACTGCACTTGGCATCGCAGTCCTTGTTACATTGAACAACATCGGGGACGTTGACGCAAATCTTGTAGAGGCAATCTGAGATGCAGGTCCAGAAAGCCTCAGGAAGCTTAACGCAAGGAGGCTGGTCCTGCGGAGCTGGAGCCGGAGCAGCAGCGGCAATGATGGCAAGGGCAAGGACCCCGAATGATATGGCGAAGCGCATCTTGGGCGTAGAGGTTGTGGAGTGTGTGTTGGTTGATGAGTTCAATGTAGTAGGTTGTCGAGAGGGGAAAACAGCCGCATGTAGTGCTTGAAATAGTTGGCCCAAGGAGCAGGAAGCAACCGCAGACTTTGGGGAGGTGAATTACCTAACCCAAGATAGTTGCTCCCGTGATGGAGCGCTGCATCCCAAGTTCTGATATCTTTTTAGGATGTGTTTCCGACTTTGACCCTCCTGACTTGAGTTAAGTGGGGTAATGATAGTAAGGGAATTGCCGTGCATATCCGCCCATCACATGCTTCTTATCATTAGAAGAAATGACTGCGTCCCATATACTAATAACCTGCTAGCATACCTACCCCTTCGGTGACGAATGCCCCAGGTCAGTTCTGGCCCGGGCCACGATCAGGGTGATATTCGCACATCAAAGCGGATTTACATGAGGCAGTTACCTACCTAGGCGGGCAGTCATGTATTATTTTCTTCTGATTGAATATTCCAACTGTTTCTGAGCTAGACCTTCATCTCCCAACGCACAGCAACACTACAAGTTTGTTGTTCTTGGGGTGGCAAAGGATGACAGGTCTGAGGCTGAGGATGAGGGGGAAGATGATACGTCGGTGACAGTGGTGGGCAACAACAGACCGACTCAAGGGTTGGCGCATAGGAAGGGTGGGCGTCCAGAGTACAGATGATGCTCACAGTGTATACCTGGGCATCATGTGCTTTCATGTTGGTACGAAGCTGGGATAGGTACGCAGGTTGATCGAATCAAGAGTGCTTGGAATGTGCTATTTCAGGGTTTGAAAAGGGCTTGCATTGAGGTGGTCCTGTGAAAGTTCTCATCACAAGAAGGCTTCACATGTGTTCATAATCATGTCAATCACCGTTACCTGACTCTATTTTTACGTCCGACTAACCCCCTTTCCGTCTCTTTTGCTTTTCTTTCGGCACCCGGATGATTTGTGGCTCCAGCAGCCAACCAAGGCTACACTACAAAGTGCCTATTGCCTTGGCAGCAGCTCTAGTTCAACGCCCACTAAACCCTTCCCAAGAAGACGTACCGAAGACTACCCCCTCACCGTGGGATTCACTGCACGTTTCCCGCTTCTTCTGCAGTTCTGGGAGCGGTTTCGGCACGTCTGCCATGCCAAAGCCGAGCCCGCACCATCTTACTCTAGGCTAGGGAGGTGGGACGTTGGTTGCATTTTCTGGGGAGGGGTTACAGCGGACCCCCCCAGCCCCTGTCAATAGCCTCACGGATGGTACTGATGATGCCTTCAACTTGGGGTATATAACAGCGTTGCGGCTTACACCTGGCTTCCAGATAGCTCATCCTCACTCTCACCCTCTCGGCCACAGCAGAAGGAGGAGAAATGAAGCCGTCACGATTTCTCTTCGCGCTCCTCCCCCTTGCCGCCGCCGCCAGGGGAGGAAGTTTCCGTGGCCTCTCCCACATCGCCACAGAAATCTTCTCCTTCCCCCCCACCAACCCGATCTTCATCGAGAACCTCCTCGTCCTCCCCGACGCCCGCCTCCTCCTCACCTCCTTTGTCCACTTCGGCCCAGACACCAACTCACCGCTCCACATCCTCAACCCTGTCACCTCCTCCGTCTCGGTGGTGACCACCCTCCCCAACTCCACCTCCCAGACCGGCATCGCCAAGTTATCCGGCGCAAACCGCTACGCCGTCACCGCTGGAATCCTCGGGGACAACTTTGAGTTTTTGAACAACACGGTCAACGTGTACGTCGTGTCGCTGGGGTGGAACGCGTCGAGCGCGACGGTGGTGGATACAATCCCCGTTCCCGGGGTCATTAGTGCGAACGGGCTCGTGGCGGTGGGGAACGTCGTTCTCAGCGCCGACTCCCGGGGCGGGAGGATCTTGAGGGTCGACACCGTCACCCGGACGAGCAGCGTCGCTTTTGCGGACCCGTTGCTGTTTGGGGACCCGGCAAACGTGAGCGGGTCTCTGGGGATCACGGGGGTGAACGGGCTGTTTCTCAAGCGGCACGGCGGGCAGAGATGGGTGTATTTCACCAATAGTGCGAGGGGGGTTTACGGACGGTTCAAGGTCAACAGTTTGGGCCATAAAGTCGGGAGTGTGGAGGTGTTGATGACGGCGACAAGCGATGATCCTGTTGGGTTTACGAACTCGCTGGATGACTTGGTGGTGGATGGGGATGCGGATGGTTATATTGCCTGGCAGGATCGGTCGTTGCTCAAGGTGAAGCGATACAACAACGGGACCACTGCGCAGACAATTGTTCTCGGGCCTGGGGGTGTTGCAACTGGAAATACGGGCATCACATTGAGGACGCCCACGTCCGTTGCCCTGGGCCTTGACGGGGGTCACATTTATGTTGGAACAGGAGGTGCTGTAGCCGGAAATCTGACCGGAGGACAGGTGGTCAAGGTTACGATCTAATTATGAAGATATGGAAATTCACAGATAGCTGCCAGGTACATGGTGTTTATGAGAAATGAATGATAAGACGGCTGAATATGACATCCTTTAGACAAGTGAGAGTGGCATGACCCGGTTCCCGGCGTGCGGAGTAGCTTCATGGAGGAAAAAAACCCCCAATTGGTCACCACTCAAGCTTGCCGCCAAGAATGCGGGCAAGCTCACGCTGGGGAAATGGATTCATTTACCCGGCATTTGACGACCGTGGAAGCTGTGATTTCGCCGTCGGTATACACATCCGATCTCCGAGATGGCAGTGTTGGAATGAGGGGGAATGGCATCCAATTGCGGTGCGTTCAGCTGCTTATTACGACATGAAACGTCTCGAGTCGTGGGCCCAACACTCTTTTGTTGTCAAGGTTTTTTTTCTTTTTTTCTTTTTTTTTCGAAATGGCTGGTGAGGAGAGATGTACCTTTGACTATCTCAAGATGCTATCAACAGTCTTCATTACAGTAGCCCTGGGGTTAGGAATCACATATTTCATCCTCAACTATCCACGTGTGAGTTTCAGCATCTGTTCCGCTTGCACATGGTTTCATCCTGCTAACTCAACCAGTTGAAACAAAACTATCACCTCTCCCGCCACCGCTCCTCACTCCCTCCTTCACCACCAACCCTCAAAACAGGCATCTCCAAACCCTGGCTCTGGTTCCGAGAACTCCACCAACAATACGGCGACGTAGTCTACCTCCAACTCGGCCCCACGCCCACCATCCTTCTAGGTTCGGCTCAAGCAGCATGGGACCTCCTCGAGCGCAAAGGGAGCATCTACTCCAGCCGCCCACGGTTCATCATGGGCCAGGAGCTGCTCTCCAACAACTTGCGAGGGCTGATGGCTGGGTACAATGATTTCTGGAGAAGATGGAGGAAGCTGCTTCATAGCGGGTTCATGGCGAGACAGTCAGAAAAGTACAGGTGGATTCAGAGCCTGGAGAGCAAAGTCTTGATGAAAGAGCTGCTCGACAAACCTGAAGGATTTAGGGAGTGGATGGAGCGGTATGCGGCCAGTGTGGTTGTCATGGTGACGTACGGGAGGAGGGTGACGGACGTGAGGAAGGACGAGGTGGTTGAGATGAACAGGTTGGCGATGGAGAGGTTGACTTTGGTGAAGTAATTTTCCCCTATCCCACCTACGAACAGGTTCAGTTAGCTGATCGCATGACAGTATTCCAGGTAAATATGCAGTCGAGCGTTATCCTGCTCTGAAGTACGTTCCCGCCGTTCTTGCCCCTTGGAAGAGAATGGTGTTGGAACAAAGGGAAAAGGACGTTCAGATGTACACCTCGTTGATGAACGATGTCAAGTCTCGAATGGCCGAGGGAAGATTGCCGGACTGTTTCGCCAAGCACTTATTGGATGAACAAAAAGGACTGGGAATGACCGACCTGGAGGTGGCGTATACGGCAGGAACACCTTTTGGAGCTGGCGTGGAGACGGTATGTTGTTACCTCTGAACCAGCCCCCTTTTTCCCCTCAAGACTAACCAAACAAAACAAACAACAGTCCGCAGGATCCTTGGCGTCGTTCATGCTTGCTTGTGTCAAATTCGGACATTCGTTCATCCCAAAAGCCCAAGCTGAGCTCGATGATGTTGTTGGCCGAGACAGGATGCCCACGTTTGACGACCTGCCGAATCTCCCCTACCTCAACGCCATCGTTTCCGAAACCCTCCGCTGGAGACCCATCGCTGTTTTGGGTGGCACCCCACACGCCACCACGGCAGATGACTGGTACAAGGGGATGTACATCCCGAAGGGGAGCACCATCATCGCGCCTTTGTGGAGTAGTACGTATTCCTTCTCTGCTGAAGTCTCTCAAACAGAGTTCATACTAACAATAACAGTCCACCTCAATGAAAAGGACTTCCCTGATCCCCACACTTTTCTCCCAGAGCGTTTCTTGAACAAGGAGAGGATAGCAGTCTACCCCGGCACAACCGGCCACAGCGCGTTTGGGTGGGGTAGGAGAATTTGTCCGGGGATGCACCTCGGCCAGGCCTCCGTCAGTATCAACATTGCAAGGATACTGTGGGGGTTTGATGTGAAGCCTGCGAAGGATGAAAAGACCGGCAAAGAGATCGACGTTGACATGTGAGTGTTCCCTTCCCCCCATCAGAGGTCTGCAAGAAAGGAACTGATGAGTGAAAAGATTTGCCTTTTCGGACGGGTTCAACTCTAGCCCGTTGCCGTTTCCCTGCGAGATCAGGCCCCGGTCGAGCAAGCATGTTGAGGGTATTGAGCGGGAGTATAGGGAGGCTCGTTCCAAGCTCGAGATATATGAAGTGTGAAGTTTGATAGGTACCTTGGCTCAAATGAGAAGTAGCCGTGTGTGAAGAAGGCATCAAGTCAGACCCAACAAACATCTGTGTTATCTGTACACCACCCCCTCCTCAGGCCTCTTAACATCCTCCGGCGCCGTTGTAAAGGCACACTTGCCTAACCCCCCACTCATAGCAATTACCCCCCCACTGCACAAAGAGCAAATGCCCTTCCTCCTCATTCTCAGGAAGCGCATGACACACAGCACTGATTGGCTTACTATTCGTCGACGCCATCCTCATCACCCCGTCATACCTCCTCATGGTACTCAGACAGACATATCCAACCACAAGCGCGAGTCCTGTCAAGATGGCCGTGACCGATGCCGCAGGGCTCTACCCGCAGGTCGAGTGAGAGTGCGCCAGCAACAGACGCTGTGAGAGCAACGAGTGCAACCGGTCGACTCAGACACCCGTAAAGTCTTGCGAACGTTGGGGTGCATGTACGGCTGAACTCGTGTTGAACCAGAAACGTTGTCAGCGAGTCGTCGGCTTGCTGTTGCTGCACTGGCAGCGCGCGAAGCGCCGATGAAAAGATCATTCAGGCAAAACCTGGCCTCGATGCATCAAATTTTGGGTACGGCAGCATGCATATGGGTAGGTACATGTATCATGTTCAATATTTGGTAAATATATAACGGCCAAGCATCTGATTCCCCTCGGTTCCCAAAGCTTCTATCGAATATCAACTTTGCAAGCCAACGCGCCATGCTTGGTGTGTGTGGTATACTGAATGGCGGTAAGAAGTGTGGTATAATGATAGAGAAAGAGACTCGACCTGAATAACAGACCGTTCGACAAGACCAACCGAAAGAACACAGAATAATTGTCCATAGTGACAGTCATCCAAGACTCCGATGACAGTATGTGTGACAATGGACAAGGCCAAGTATCCTCCCTCAACGCCAATCCTAATGCAAGCAAGAGAACACCACTTCCCAATGACAACGTGTAGAAATATTCAAGCAACGACACCCTCAACCCCGCCAAGAAATCTCCTGACTCTTCCAAGTTCAAGCTCGCCCTTCTCCGACTCGACGGCTTTCGTCAAAGTTTCGAGCAGCCGGTCGACTTCTGCCTCTGGCCGGCGTGTGCAGAGTGAGACAAGTTTCCGGTACTGCAGCTCCCGCTGCTTGCTCCGCGCTTTCAGTCTACCAACCATGTGTCGTGTCTGCTCCCCTCTGGCGTGAACCGCCCTGATTCTGGCACGCAACACGGCGGCACTAGGGAGACGAGCAGCGGGATGTGGCTTGTCCGCGTCGGCGGCGAGGTGGCCGTCCACTCCGGTGTCGTCGGCTGCTTGCTGCTTTGCTTCGGTGAGAACCGCCCTGAGTTCGGCTGCCCAGTCCTGCTCAGGCCCAAGATTGTGGATGGAGACACGGTGTTGCTGTACGAGTTGACGAAGTCCCATTTCCTCCTCCTCACAGGCCAGCGCAAGGTTGGAGGCTTTTTGACGGGCGAGCTGCTGGGCAGTAAGCTTCTCTTGAAGAGCTTCTAGGTTGCGGCGAGCCTCGCCAACCTGGGCCGAGGTTGTGCGCAAAGATCCGTGAAGCGCGTCGATAGCGTCTTGCTTCTTCTTGAGTTCGCCCTGGAACTGAGAGGTTGACTCGTTGATAAGATGAGAGATGGCTGAGGTTTGAGTCAGTAAGGATGTCGCATGACGAGGCAAGGAAATGAACCCACAGTTGACAACCTCATCGCTATTCTCCCTGCTCTTCTGTCTCGACCCCTGAGGAGCGTTTCTCTCCCCGGTCTCGCCACTGGCGGAGTGTCCATGTGCCAGCCCAATGCCAAAATCCAAGGGACGTAAACCGGCGGTATTGGCGATTTCAGGGTCTGCGCCAACCTCGATGAGTTGTGAGATGATGCTTCGGTTGCCCACACGTGCTGCCACGTTCAGGGCTGTGTCACCTCGGTTGTCTTGTGCGTTGACAATCTCTCCCATGAACCGACCAATGTTCATTCTTGACGAGGCAAGCCCGTTGCTTCCATAAGTCTGGCTCTGACTGCTTGGATTGCTCCCTTGGCGGACCACCCACTCAAGTAAGCTCTCAAGGTAGTACCGGGTGCATACATTCCTACCCTGTACCGCACTGACGAGGGCAATGTGATGCAGCACCGTCCTGCCCTTGTCATCTCTCACGTCCAGGGTACCGCCCAGGATGTCCAGAAGATCGGGGAAGCACCCGTGTTCCATGGAATTGGTGGCATTACAGGCCCTCATCAGGGCCGTTTCTCCGGATGCGTTCACACGGAATGGACTGGATCCCGCCTCCACGAGGGCTCTCAGGAGCGGCATCCGGGCAAGAGTGGCAGCCCAGATGAGGGCTGTGTTGCTCTGAGCATCAATGGGACCGTCAAGTTCTTGCGGGATCATGTTGCGGAGGATGCTCTTTTGGTTTTCGTCAGGGCCGGCCGTGTTGAGGAACAGCTGCATCAGCATGCTGCGTTTTGCCTCGGCCTCGGGAGCTGTTTCGTATGGCAGCGGACGCAGCGGACCAGGAGCATACTCCGGCTCGTTCCGGGAATAGATGAACGACTCGTTCGGCTCGGTGGGTGACCCGGGAAAGTTCTCGGCGTAGGGGTTCATACTTGGATATGTCGGGGTGAGCCCTCCAAAGCTGTGAGCGGGTGTGAGAATTCTTTGCCTCTTGCGCGCAGGCTCGACCGTCTCGTTGACCACCGGCTGTGTCTCTTGAGAACCAAAGGCAGATTCGGGGGCCCCATAGTTGGACACAAAACTGTGCTGGGAGTTTGGTGGGAAGTCACCAGCATCTTGCATGGACGGCTGGCGTTGGAAGCTGGGAGCGCGAGACGGAGGGTTGCGATTTCTGGGAGCGGGCGACTCGAACCTGGCTTTGCTAATAGCATTGATAGCATGGGATGCGGTCGACGAAATGCTCTTGAAGAATGTGCCACCCTGTTGAACACCACCTCCGCGGCTCTCCTGAGAGCTTGCGTTGTACAGACGCTTCCGCTGGGCAGCCATGGCCTGTTCTTTTGTTGGCGTGTCGACATCGGGGGCGCTTCCTCCATCTTGGCCCCGCTTATGGGTGAGAAGTGCATGGAGCACCTCATGGACGCCATACTGACGGCAAACCTCGAGACCGCGTTCAAAAGGGATCCATGTGCCCTGGTATTTCCCGTAGCCACCCTGAACCTTTTCATGCTCGCCCGTCTGGATCTCCTTTTCCAAGATTTTTGTCCGGCGTCCCTTTTCCACCCCTGCCACCTTTAGGATCTGTGTCGCATTGAGCCAGCCATCACTCTGACGGCGCATGACGGTGATGCCATTGGCTTCGGTTTCGTAGACACCAACACCCGAGTAGAGAGCCTGGAAAGAGTTAGTAGCTGTCCACACACCAGGAAGGGAATTCAGGATCCAAGACTAACCGAGTATATGGGCATAACATGCTCAGCGGGCTGTGGTGCTGGGTCGGTATACTGGCGATAGGAAGACTGCAAGTTGAGAGTCTGGGAGGAGGGTTGGCTCATGGAGAAGGGCTGCTGGGAGGAGGGCTGGGGGTACTGGTGAGACTGCTGCGAGGCGGTCATCTGTTGTGACAACTGCATAGTGGCAGCAGTCTGGGGAGGTGGAGGGGTGGGAGTGGGTATCAGAGCGGTGGAGGCGGGCCCAGAGAAGGACGGGCGATGGGAGGTGGCAGCGACAGAGGTTGCGACGGTTGCCGAGGCCATTCAGCAGGCCATCCGGGGAAGAATACGATACGGTAAAGATATTATGTATGTATGGGGCGTGATTAAAGATATGCCTAAGTGTGATGTCGTGGTGGTTGTCGTCGATATTCTCGAGAGAGGGGGGGGAGGGCAGAGGGAGGAGGGCAGAGGGAGGAGGGTAGAGGGAGGAGGGCAGAGGGAGGAGAGAAATCGGCCGTCTGTTGCGAGCGGTGGTGGGTCGTCGAGGAGAGATCGTACAATATAGCGACAGACCAAGCAGTTGGTCCAAGTAGTTGAAGCAAAGTATGGAGCAAAGATACGGATAGAGTTCCTAATCAATTAAGACGTGTGATTTTCGTGTTCTTTCGCGCCTTGTCTTGCTGCGCGCCCTCTGTTCTCGTCGCGTGCCCTTCAATTACTCGGAAGCGAGGTGGGGCCACGTCTTGGCGCCGCACACTTCACGCGCCAGCCGCACAGACCATCCTCTTTTTTTCTTTTCTTTCTTTATCTTTGTTACCTTGCAGGTTGTGTTTTTCTTGCCTTTTTTTTAACCGTGCACCCGTTGAGCCTCGACTCCAGGTGGTCCAAGCTCCCACTGGAGACCATCATTCTTTTCGACGGCACCTCTTCCCAACTCTTCTCCTATGCACAGCAGTGGAAGCACTCACTGCCTGCTTCATCAGCTAGCCATGGCACGGGAGCCTGGGTGATTTGATTCTCCGCAACATGTCCCGACCACTTCAATTACCCCCTCCAACGACCACTCTTGGCCTCTATCGACAGCTCCTCCGCGAATCGTCATACCTGCCTTCGCTGGCCCGTCCACATGTCGATCACCAGATCAAGGACCGCTTCCGTCGATATCAGAAGGGCCACGTTGACAATGGCCGCCTTCGAAAGAAGCTCAAGGATGCCCATCATGAGCTCCGAGTCTTGCGCGCTGCCAATGCCGGAGACATGAACCGGATGCAGAAGATTCTGCTCAAAGCTTTTGGCCGCACTGGCAGTCGACGCCGGGACCTCTTTAGCAATCTGGTACGACGCCCGCCCCCAGCTACCACCGAGGAACTGGAAGCACAAGTGAGCGGTACCCGAGCGTGGAGCTTTGATAGGGATCCAGACTGGCTGGATGGGTGGGATACCGAGGCCCTTCTTGCATTTGCCAAGGTCCAGGCAAAAACAAGTCTTCCATCCTCTCCCAGAGGGCCCCTGCTTCCCAAGCACGCCGTCTCGCCAGACAAGGATATCCCAAAGGAGAATGTGTACGGCAATCCGTTCCCGGAAAAGGTGGCGAGAACGAAGGTCAGGAAGCTCTATGCCAGCCTGGCCGACCGAGTACTTCCTCCGTTGCCAGAATCCGAATGGGACAGGCTTGCTCTGGTGGCCGAAGGGAAATTTGAGGAGGCCGGATGGTATGTACCCTCTCGGAGGTCTGCCGCGAAGAGTTTGGCAGGAGATGCCGACGCGCAAGCAGGCGAGTGGAAATGGCAGCTCTACGCTACGAGGCCGGTTGGCCTGGTTGATGTTGCACAAAATAAGAAGCAAAGGTTGCTCAGCGGGGCTTTGGATGAGAACACGCCACACGGGAACACCCAGCCAGTGGACCGTCACATATACACAGCCAAATTCTGGAAACGTCTCGTCAAGTCGATATGGCTCCTCACTGCAAAGGGGACGCGGGACCCAGAAAGGGGTGGCTATCGTGTCACTTGGGCGAGGGCACCTTTCCAGGCTCCAACAGCAACAACCTCTGGGATGGAATTTTTTGAGTCCCTGCCAGTCGACGCATCGCTCAGCAACAAAACCAAGGGCCCAAAAAAGAGGGGACGGAAATCGGCACGATAAGGCTCTCTTAGTCCAAAAGTGCTGCCAACTTATTCAACCCCTCGCCGTCAACACGCATGCCAACCCACTCGCTCATCATATTGGCGCCAATGCTTTCGTAGAACTTGATGGAGGGTTCGTTCCACTTGAGCACACTCCACTCAAGCCGCCCTCCCTTTAAGGCCACGACTTCCTTGGCCAACTCGACTAGCAGTCTCTTGCCGTACCCCTTTTTGCGCTCGCTCTGCTTGACGTAGAGATCTTCGAGGTAGATGCCGGGGCGGGCGCGCCAGGTGCTATAGTTGTAGAAATACAGCGCGATACCAGCGGGAATGCCTTGGGGGCTCAGGAGGATCAGGCAGCGGGCTGGTTTGTTTGAGGATGTCGACTCGGTTTCGTCGGCAGCAGGAACGGTAGATGTGGACGAGGAGGGGGCAAAGGCGATGGTACATAGTAGTTTTTCCTCGGTGGCTTCGACGCTGCTGAGCTCGTGTTCATAATCGGCGAGTTCACGGATCAGCTCGAGGATGGCGGGAACATCTGTGTTGTGCCAGTCAATACCAAGCTTGTGTGACGGTGTATTCCGGGCTGGAACAGCTGCAATCGGTGGGAAACATACCCTCGCGTCTAGCGTGACGAACAATTGGATCTGGAGACATGTTGTACATACGCTGAGCTTCTGTGTCTTGTGGAAGACCATCGAGTCAATAATGCCCCGCACTATAACAAGCTCCGTGGTGGGGTCAATTGGATAAATCAATTAGGTACCACCAACCCAAGGGCGCGCCTATCCATTGACAGTGTTGACCGCGTGTACCTGGGGATGTGGGGATCTGATCTGAGCTGATCTGATCACCAGTTCATCCTCAGCATGTGTGTAAACTACTGGGTCGTCTCTTGACATGGCTTGTGCGATTTTGTGTTCTGCTTACTCCAATCAACGACCCCGCCATCCATTTCCGATCCCTCACCGCACGCTGCAGAGTGTGTCTGTTCGGGCACACAGCACACCACACCGGGGAATTCCGTTTCCCTTTAACAACCTCCCCATGAGCTCTGCTTTTACCCCTCTGACATCATCCCCCTCTGTACTGTACTGAAGCATTCTTACCACCCATCAGTCAAGGCATACTCATCTGATCTTGGCCAATCACCAGCAAAATGAGTGCATCTCACACCCCCACCGCCGAACCAACCGTCACCTTTGCCTCGGGCCGTGACACGGTCAATGACCCCCCCGACGTCCGCATCCTCCACTACAACGATGTCTACCACCTCGACTCCTCCTCAGCCGAACCCGCCGGAGGCGTCTCCCGCTTCATGACAGTAGTAAAAGAATACCGCTGCCCGCCCCAGCCCAACAACAACCTCCCCGACCTCGTCCCCCTGTTCTCGGGGGACGTCTTCAACCCCTCTCTTGAATCCTCCATCACCAAAGGCTCCCACATGGTCCCCATCCTGAACAACATCGGCACCCTCGCCACCTGCGTGGGGAACCACGACCTGGATTTTGGGGTCAGGCAGTTTCGCTATCTATCTTCCAAGTGCCGCTTCCCCTGGCTCCTCGCCAACGTCCTTGATCCTGCTTTGGGCGAAGGGGTCCCACTGGGTAACGCGAAGAAGACCCACATGATCACCACGTCAAACGGGATCAAGATTGGGCTGATCGGTCTCGGGGAAAGGGAGTGGTTGGACACGATCAACTCCCTTCCGCCTGATATCGTTTACCGGTCGGCCAGTGAGGTGGCGCAGGAGCTGGTGCCGGAGCTGAAGGAGCAAGGCGCTGACGTGATTATCGCGCTCACTCATCAAAGAGAGCCAAACGACAACAAGCTTGCGAGGAATCTGGGAGGGGGCATGATTGATCTTATTCTGGGCGGGCACGACCACTTTTATGCGCATAGTTACATCAACGGGACCCATGTGCTGAGATCAGGGGCGGATTTTAAACAGCTGAGTTATATCGAGCTGAGGCGGAATCAGGACCTGGAAGGGACGGCCAAGAAGTGGGACGTGGATATTGTTCGGAGGGACATTGTACGAGCGATCAAGAAGGATCAGGAGACGGAGAAGCTGGTCGAGGGCTTGACGGCGAAGCTTAAGAAGAGTCTGGAGAAGCCGATTGGGTGGACGGCGGAGCCGTTGGATGCGCGGTTTACGACTGTGAGGACGAGAGAGTCGAACATTGGGAATTGGGTTTGTGATATCATGAGGGGGCATTACGGGGCGGACTGTGCGCTGATGGCGGCGGGGACGATAAGGGGGGATCAAATCTACTCGCCGGGCCCGGTTAGGGTGAAGGATGTGACGGATTGTTTCCCGTTTGAGGATCCGGTGGTGGTGATCAAGGCGGCGGGGAGGAATATCTGGGACGCGCTGGAGAACGGGGTGAGTTTGTACCCGGCGCTGGAGGGGAGGTTTCCGCAGGTGTCGAATATCAAGTTTAGGTTTGACCCTTCGCTGCCGGTGGGGGAGAGGGTGTTGAGGGTGGAGATTGGCGGTCAGCCGCTGGATAAGGAGAAGGTCTATGTCATGGCTACTAGAGGGTATATGGCCAGAGGAAAGGATGGGTACAAAGCCTTGCTGATCCAATCCGAGGGTGGTGATTGCGAGGAGGTTGTTTCGGAAGAGAACGGCATCTTGATCTCAGCGATGCTGAGGCAGTATTTTATGGCGCTGACCGTCATGAACAAGTGGGCCAGATGGGGTCCATCATTGGCAAGACATTGGTTTGTTTCCCCCTTTACTCGGACGCGCAGAGCCGTCAGAAAACTAACAGGACATCAAAATAGGGACAAGGTGGTACAAGAGACTTCCTCCAGCTGTCCCACTTTGCCAGCGTCACCAACCGAGACCCGCCAGCCAGGAGACAGGAGAAAACACGGCGACACCACCAACAACTCGCACAAGGGATGGGACTATTTCACACCTGCCAAACTCCGAGAAAGGAGATCAAGCGTCAGCCCCTTGGTTGGTCACGCAGAAGACGACTCGTCCGACGAAGAGTCACCGGATGAGGACGTACACCGGACCGAAGTCAGAGACACTGACAGGGAGCTGAGGGTGATGCGCAAGTTCTTTAGGAAGTGGTGTCGTATTGCGGGTGTTGATGATGGCAAGGACTGCGTGGAGGGGCTCAAGGACAGCGAGGGTGAGGTTAGCTGGACACGGGCGATTAAACCCAAGTTCGAGGGGAGGATTGTGATGGTCGCTTCTCAAGCTTAGAGTTGCACTTCAAGATTCGCTCAAACACTGGGCTTTTGGATACCTTGTCGGAGAGACCATAGAAAGAACGGCGAGGATCTGCGAAACAATGGGCATGTTGCTTTTGTCTTGTTTGGTACGTATGCACGTAGGTGGATGTGTATCATGAGCTGCATGTGCTGTGACATTCCGTGCTTCACGTATTAAAATAGCCTTGTCAGGGCCATCGACTGAGGGGGAAATTACCGAGGGTGTGCTGTAGTCTTTGCACATGACAGCTTGGCAGTTGATGCAGACATTTTGGGGGGGTAGACGATCCAGCTCAGTTGATGATAAAATTCTTCCTCACAATTGAGGTGTCAGTGACTTGATAATACAATATGGGCCAATCTTGCACCTTGCCCGGCCCAAACCGATGAACAGACGGGATCTCGGGCCTGGCTTCACCCCGCGTTTTCCTTTCCAAGTTGCAGGTGGACCACCTCACTGACCCCGCCGGGCTCCCCCCTGAATTCCACGTGCATATTGTCGCCCAGACACCGAACTGAACCAGCCCCCCGGCGGCGTGCGAGCGTTGATCCTTTGGGCAGCATGGCCCGGATACTCCGACCTACTAATGGAAGAAAAGCATGCCGAAGAGAATGGAAAGATATTGACAGGCAAGTTGGACTTGATATGTATTGCAATAACAAACCCAAAAGGATGTGATGAACTTCGAAGCGAGGACGTTGCTGAATCCGAGCTTCTTGAGTTCTTGGTCTATCCCGTTTTCTTTCTTTTTTTCTTTCCTTTTTTTTTTGTTTCTTGGCCCTCTCGGGCTGCAAGTGTGTGCCGCATCGCGCTAGTTCCCGTCAAATACACGCCACGCATATTGCTTCCATATCAGTTTCTAGAGCATTGGCAACGGGTTGCCCAGGGAATTGTCCACCAGGTGGTCCATACATATACAACTGCCTGTGTGAGCCAATTTGTTTCACACCCTCGATCTTTTCTCCCTGATGAGGTTTGGTGTCTGCTCATAGTCTTGAGCCCGGGCGGCCATGTTATCTATCCATTGTTCCGTTAGCCGGAGTGGAGCCTGCCCGGCGTAGGTGGAGCCGCAGTAACGCTGGAGATGTTGAGGATGCCGTGGATTCTCGGAGAAGAAACTCCTCTTTCCGCCTCTCTCTCCGTCTCCAGTCTTCTTCTCCACGATCCGCATGGAGCCGTGGAATCTGTCAAAATCGTTCAAAAGATTGGAGAAAGCGGGGCCTCTCGGGTCAGGAAAAAGAAAGCGTGATCAATCGATTGTGAGCGACGAGACGCGCCATGACGGGCAAGGCCGTGCGTATCTTTTCTGAATGATATCCAAGAAACGCTAGCTTACGAGTTCATAGCCGGTGTTAGGTAGCGAGTTGTAAGCTGCAGCGATAGGCTCATCAATGTCCCGGTACTCGAAGGGGAAACTGGCTTGGGTGGATGTTTGAGATTGACAGCCACAGATGGGTTCAGGGGTACTGTTGGTCACCGTGACATTTTCTGCGCAGTGTGAGGGTACCAGCCGCCTGGTGAGGTGAGGCATTTGGGAGGGTCCCCGGTTTTCTTCACGCCCGGAGCGCCCTCGAGCATTGGCAATCGGCGGGTCTGTCGCATCTTGAGAGATGAAGAAGCCGATGCTGGGCCCTTGGCTCGACAGCCAGCAACAGAGGCTCTTGCAGTTGGGGGCAAAGCGAAGCCGGGGATCACCCTGTTGTTATCCCAACGTCTCTCAACAAGCGAGAGAACGACCGACACAAAACTGGTTAGCTCACCTGGCTGCAGCATTCGGGTGCGATTTTCAAGCTGGTCGTCGACTGGCGAATGGGGGCCAAGCCGCCGTGTCGAAGGTGACATCGATTGGCATCCCGCTAGTGTTGGTGGTTTTTTTCTCCGTTACCTCTTCTGGAGGATCTGACTGTCGCGTCGATAAATGGTGAAAAGCACAAGGGGGCGGTGGGGGGAATTAGTGTGAGGAAGATTGTCTGTGTGCCCCCATGAGTGCAACGTCCAGCAAACGAGTGCCAAATATGGACGCGATATATATGAGGGCCAGCCTTCCCCGGAATCCCTTACAGAACGGTTCCTCTCCTCTGGGCTTTCTGGTTCCCGTTTCCTTCTTTTGATATTCCTTTATTCAGCCTTGTAGGCGACAATCACCTGCAGCCACAGGCCATCCCGTCTTGTCCCGGTTTTCTGTCCTTCACATCCCCATCGACTTTGTACATACATAGGTACATCAACACCAACCGGGCAGGGAGATCACCGGCGCGAATCTCGCATTCTTCTCGACCGCAAGGTCGGGGAAAGAAAGAGGTCCACGCTAAAGAAACTGGATTCGGGGATCACTACGATTTGGGCGGGCAAGGGACGACAACCCAGGCGCCATGAGACTACCACCACCCGAGGTCAGAGCCAGCTGGCCTCCAGCCAATTATGAGAATCCTGAGACGAGAGGCCCGGCTCTTCTGATCATCCAGCTCATCATGCTTCCCATCGCCCTCATCGTTCTACTCCTCCGTTTCTACGTCCGTATCAGCATCATGGGCAAGGTCGAATCCGACGATTGGTTTATGGTGGCCGCCGCTGTATGTTTTATATGCCCCTATTCTCGGAGTAGCTTTGGCAGGATGTGACCGTTTTCTGACCTGACTGGTACCTAGCTGTGCGGAACGGGAGTAACAGTGTGCGTCATTCTGGCGTCCTCCCTGTACGGCTGGAGCCTTCATATCTGGGATCTCAAGTATGAGACCATCGTATCCAACCGCAAGGTGTCCATGGCCGTGCAGGCTCTATTTGTCTTCGCGACCAGCTTTGCCAAGGTGTCTATCCTGATCAGCTACCTCCGTCTTGCGCCCCAAGGGTCGTGGTTCCGAAAGCTCACTCGTGCGTTGTTCTCTTGCCGTTCTGGTAGTACGTTGGTCGTTGATATGGTGCTGACATGACCACAACAGAGGGCACCATTGCGTTTGTCGCCCTGTTCAACTCAGCCTTCATCGTCGTCCTCTTCACCCAATGCCGGCCAACATCTTCCTACTGGAACATCATCTTCAGCAAGTCAGACTGCGTCCCCGAGGGCCCGCCGCTCATAACCCAGGCGTCCCTGACCGTGTTGTCCGATTTCTTGGTCTGGATTTTGCCACTGCCGACCTTGTACAAGGCCCGTCTCCCGCTCTCGCAACGCATCGCGCTCATCGTCCTATTCTCGTTTGGGGGCGTGGTTGTCATTGGGGCCATTTTGCGACTGTACTGGATCTGGCATGTGGTGGAAAGGACATACGACGTGACTTGGGAGGGGTTTCACCTCTGGATCTGGACGGCCGTCGAGGTGCATTTGGGAGTTATTTGCGGTTGCGTGCCATGGTTGAAGTCGCTGGTCAAGTTCTGGAAGAACGGGGGCTCGACGGCGGCGGGATATTCCCACAACCGAGCCGGGAGTAGGAGTCTGGGCAAGATGACTGCGGGCAGCAAAGGGGGGAAGCTGAACGGGGAAGAGGAGGGTGCCGATTTCAGGTGTGACCGGGGGGCTGTGTTTCGGATGGTGAGCGTCAATGGCAAGAAGCTGGACGGCGATGCGTACATGGACCTGGACAGCTACGACGGCAGCAGTACCGCGAAGCTGGACGTCGAGGCAGAGCAAGGCCCAGCTGCCCGGAAGTAGATTGGCAGAACGATGCCTAACCACCTGTTGTAATTAAACACCGACAGCGTCAATGTATCCATCCTTGTTATTTTCTTTTTTGTTTTGTTCACAGACACTACCCCAGATTGCCGGCGCGGCAGTTGAGGCAGCGGAGAAGTGGAGGCTCAAACGGCGCACTCGCTAAAAGAGACCGAAAAGGAAGTGGCCGAAGAAGAGGGGCGTCAACCCTGCCGACCCTGCCGTTGAGCCGTGGCCGGGTTTCATTGCCGATGGAGCTGTGTTGCATCGCTCACTGAGAAATCGATAGCCGACCTTCTGGATGAGGCCGAGTTTGCGGGCGCAACAGAAGCAGAGTCTGTTCACTGTAACTGTGTCATCTCACCTCCAAAAATCAGCACATGTCAGCCATCATGGTGAGCTACGACCACACAAGCTATCCGTGCGTCAGGATACATACCCCGCTTTCTCGGCGGGGAACTGGGCCTGGCCTCATCATTGTCTCTGGCGACGACTATGAGGTGCACGACGACCGCGTTAGCCAAACACTGGATCCGCACCCGACCAAGAAATGGGCAGAAGAGGGATATGCGGTGGCCGAGGTGGGGGTAGGTCTGGTCCAGAGGGAGCAACACGATCGCGTTGACAGAGTGCTTGAGCTCAAGAACCAGCTCACCGAGGCTGTTGATAAACTGAGGGCGACGCCAGAATGTCAGGGCGAAGAAATTGGCTTGATTGGTAGGTCATGGCCAAGCCGTCACAGAGAGGCTCATTTGTCGTCTGGAACAAGACTGACTATGGCATCGTAGCATTTCACCACGACCACATCTCCAGGCATCTCCTCGATGCTGTCAAGGAATTTCCTGAGATCAAGGCAGTCATCTTTTATGGCTGGTCACCAAGCGAAGCACCGCACGTCCCGGTTCTTGCCCACCTGGCTGGGAACACTCGTCCCAGCAGTCATGTTCCGGGGGTGACCATCTACACCTACCCGTCTGCCAAAGACCACCTCTTTGCTCTGCCAACTCATGCATCATTTTTGGCGAGCGCCGTCTCCGTCTCCCACACTCGCTGCTTGTCTTTTCTCAAGCCCAAAACGAAGGGCCCATACTTTGACCTGGAAGCTATATGGGACGAACACACGCGGTTCGAGTTTGAAGACCGCAGTGTGGAGGAAACAATGAAGACGATGGTGGATGAGCCCTATGTGAACCATGTGCCCACCTTGACGGGTGGCATCGGGCGAGCAGCCCTGACGAGGTTTTACCGGGACCACTTCATCTTCAGCAACCCCGACGACGCCAAACTCGAGCTGGTGAGCCGCACCGTGGGCATTGACCGGGTGGTGGACGAGTTTCTGTTTCAGTGCACTCACACCAGAACCATTGACTGGCTGTAAGTTGAATAGTGGCCGAAGCAAGACAAGCACAAGGTGAAAAGAGGCTGACGATGAGACCGAAAGGATCCCTGGAATTCCCCCTACCGGAAGGAAGCTGAGTGTGCCCATGACCAGCATTGTCAACATTCGCGGCGATAAGCTCTACCACGAACATATTGCTTGGGACCAGGGAACGGTTCTTCGACAGCTCGGGCTGCTCCCAGAATATCTGCCATTCCCAGGGACCCAGTTGGAGTACCGTGTGCCGGTGGCCGGGATAGAGACGTCGAGCAAGATGGTGGATGAGAACTCGTGTGCTTCGAATGAGATGTTGGACTATCAGGTGAGGGAGGTGAGGGAGGTGAGGGAGGTGAGGGAGGTGGGGGAGTAATTGTCGGTAACAAACACGTCATTGTTGTCTGCACGTACAAGAAGAAAGAAAAATGAAGAAAACGAACAGCCCAAAATGCATTGTTGAAACGCGCACAGTGCCAGGCAGTGCGCGTAGGAGCGCCATGTAGGGCAAATGGCTGGAGTCTAAACTGTGCCGTTCCACAGTTTTGTATGGCAGAGGTCACGGGTCTGGTCACGGGCTCAGGCCAAAGTGGGCCTAGCTCGGCATTCTAAGTTTCCACGACCACTCGAAACTTTGCAAAATCGGGAAAGCTTTCGACTCGACTTGATTCGATCTCCGCTGTCACCAACTTCTGACGACCGCACACATTACACCCTCTCTCGCTCCCCACCTGCAGCATTGCCACTGATAGCTCCAGCAACTACGATTATTTTATTCTGTAGCCTCCTTGTCGACTCTCGACTTTCGACTCTCGATCCCCGACCCGTCAATCCCTCAAACAACCACCACCAACCACCCTTGGCCATCCAGCTCTCCGACGACATCAGACATCATGCCTACAGGCCTGTCTTCCAGCTTCGCCTCTGCCGCCGCCGGCCAAACCCGAGATTCCAGAGGAAACGGACGAGTCGACACGGGACGTACTGGCGGGAGCGGTGAATGGTAAGATGATCAGAATACATACATGCTACGTGACATCACCCTCGTGCCTCGAGGCTAATATGGGGTGCCAGGCCGCGCTCGAATGGGACTAGGACTTTCCGCCGACCCTCCACCACTCCCTTCAACCAAAACCCCTCGTCCAACCCCGCCGATCTCATGCAGTCTTCCGTTTCCGACACGCCTTCTTCGTATCCAAACAGCCAGCCAGGCTTTGGGGAGGGGGCCGCGAAATACACGAGGGAGGAGCTGCTCGACATCTTCAATAGTATTGAACCCGCCAAGATGGATGTCTCCAGTCTTTTGGAGCCGAATTGGAACCCGGGCCATTTGAACGGTAGCCATCCCTCTGCTCGTCCATGGGGCAAAAGTGGCGACTCGGGCCATGCCCCACAGGATCCCAGCGTGTGTTGGGACGCAGATGGCAGTGTCAAGCCCATCGGTTTAGAGGACATGACCGAGGAGGAGCGCCTCATGTTTTCGACTGATGTGAACTCGACCATGAAGCCACCTCAGCCGAAACAGCCCCAAGAGGGGAGCACCCCTCAAGGCGGGGGCATCAACGGTCGCAAGACGTCTGTGAGCGCCTCGAATTACCCTCTCGCCTCCCCGTCGACCTCCCGCCCTGTGACCAGGCGTAGGGAGACGGCTGACACGAACCCGTTTCCATCTGCGTCTGTGGCCTCGCCGACAGCCTCTCGCTTCTCCCGGGATGAGTGGTTTCCCCGCCGCAACACGGCCGAGGTCAAAGAGATGACGGATGAGCCAGAAGAAGACCACAATTTACGCGAGGCTCCGGCCAAGAATCAACCTTTTGCACTGCGTGCCAACACTGGCGGTCCGACTGGCTTTGGCAATGCAAGTTCTCTCTGGGGCCCAGGCACGCCCACCTCGAGTTCTGGAATCGGTGGTGGGGCATTTGGCAACTTTGCCATTCCCACGCCCACCACTGCCGAGAAGCGCTTCCCATCTTCGGGCGGGAGTCGTCTTGCGCACCTGATCCCGAAGGACTCGACTGAGAGCGCAGCGCCCAAAGCAAGTGATGCCGCCAGCTGGCGTCCTCGCCAGCGGACTGATACAGACCCGTTTACGAACCGGGACGATGGTGCATCTGGCAGTGCAGCTTTGGGCGGGGCTCAGGACAACAGTCCGCCTCTGGCCTCGGCCCAGCCGCTGCGCAGCAACAGTGTTTTTGACACCCCTGTGAAGGGAAGTGCTGGTGACTTTGGCATGGCCAATCTGCGTCTTGGTGACCGCGGCGATGGACATGGCCCAAACAGTCCCTCGGACACGAACCCTTTCCGCAGCCCCACTGCGGTGGACGGCCGCGAGGAGCAGCAAGACGACCATCACGACCGTCAGCACCACGATGTTCTCCGCAACAACCAGCCCGGCCCAGCCCCTGACAACCATTCTGGCTACAGCACGCTTCCTCGTTCTTTCGGGGCTACTGGCCCCTTTGACGGCAGCGATCGGAGCCAGACCTCTAGTGTCGGTGCCAAGGGCTTCCCCGCTGTGAACCATCTGGGCGGTTGGCCTTCTGCACCCTCTGTTGGCACTCCCGATCGTGATCGATCTTTCAACCCGTTCGGACCTGGCATTTTCGGGTCCATTACCGATCTCCCGTCCCCTGGCCTGGGCGGTCTCAACAGCGTCTTCGGCGTGCCCACTACCTCGAGACTTGCCCGTGGAAAGCTCGAGTCTCTTTTCCCGACGGCCATGCAGGCTCCAATCCACCCTCACGACCAAGACGGGCTCGCTGATTCTATCCCTGATCTTCGTCAGGCCAATCCTCTGGGTGCTATTGGCCGTGGTGCCATTGGTTTGCCCCGTGAAGCCACTAGTCCTGTCCGGGGCAACCGGGCTGCCTTTGAGGATATGTATTCGACTCCTGACCAGACCCGTTCTCCTTTCTCCGCCCCCGATCAAGACCAGCAGGGTCTCACGAGCACCGCCCCGGGCCAGTCATTCCCCACCACCGGCGGTCCTTCCTTCGTCTCTGGCCAGGCTGGAGGAGATCCGGGCTCGGTCAGAACCATGGTCATGCCGGACAGGATGCGCTGGGTTTATCTCGATCCCCAGCAAGTAGTTCAAGGGCCCTTCAGCGGTCTCGAGATGAATGACTGGTACAAGGCGAACTTCTTCACGCCTGACCTTCGGGTCAAACGGCTGGAGGATCGTGACTTTGAGCCTCTTGGTCAGCTTATCCGGCGCATCGGAAACTCCCGGGAGCCTTTCCTCGTGCCGCAAATGGGTATCCCTCATGGCCCTGCTCCTCCCGCTGGGGGCTACGGTCCTGGAGTGTCTGATCCTGTCCCGCCTCTTCAGAACGCCTTCCCTTCCTTCGGCCGCACCCTTACCGCTGCTCAGCAGAATGACCTTGAACGCCGTAAGCAGGAGGAACAAATGTATCATGCCAGAGCGCGAGAGCTGGCTCAGTTTTCCCGCCATCCCCTCCAAACCTCTGTGCCCAGCACGCTCCAGCACCACTCCAGCATCCACAGCCTGCAGAGTCAGCCCAGCTTTGGCAGCATGACGTCTCCCATCACCATGCCTCCTCAGCCTCCCATTGGTCCCATGGTTCCGGGCGCCCCTTTTTTTGATTCGGGTGCTGGCATCGCCCCCGGTCCTGCGCAGCCCCCCATTGGACCTTCTGCCGACCTTTTTCCTGCGGATCTGAACCTCAGTGAGCGCCAGATGCTCGCCAACATGCAGGCCACCGGGTCACTGCCGGCCGTTTTCCCCTCGCAGTCAGGGGGTGCCAATGTTGCCGATGGTGGCCTCCAGAGCCAACTGCCTCATGTCGACCAGCTTCAGCAAGACTCCGAGGGCTTCAAGGACAGGCTCCTCCAGTTTCAAGATCTCCGCTCTGAGCGTGATGCTGAAGAGGCGGCCGCCACTGCCACTGCCCAGGCCCGCAAGGTCATCGACGAGGTTGTCAAGCAAGAAGAGCCAGCGCCGGCTAATTCTGCCCCCGCTCCCATGTCAGCTCCCGTGCCCGCTCCTGCTGCTCCCGAGACTCTCGTCGCGGCCCCCGAGCCCGCTGTCGCCAGGAAGGCTGCTGCCCCAGCCCAGTCTGAACTGTCTCTGACCGAGAAGGTGCGTAAGACGCAGGCCGATAACGCCAAGTCGGCGCAGAAGCCTTCTGCTTCTGGCCTTCCCATGCCCTTCCCCCCCCCGCAAAACGCCCCTCTGCCTGCTCCCACGGCGCAGCGTCCTGCTTCCAACCTCCCTAGTCAGTATGGCGACCGGTCCGCCTCTGGAACTCCTGACACGTCTTCTGAGGGTGCCCCTCTTGCCCCTCCCCCTACCGCTCCCTGGGCTCCTCAGCCTGGTGCTGAGGCTCACAAGGGCCCAAGTCTGAAGGAAATTCAAGAGGCCGAGGCCAAGAAAGCTGCCAAGAAGGAGGAGGCCGCAGCCGCCGCTAGACGCGCGGCACTCGAGCAAGAGACGGCAGCTCTTCTGGCGCGTGAGAAGGCGGCTGCTGCTGCCAGTATCGGTCTTCCTGCCACTAGTACCTGGGGTACCGGCTCGCCAGTCAGCACGGCCAGTGGCAGCCCCTGGAAGCAGCCCACGGTCGTCAAGACTCCCGTGTCTGCCAGCACTCCCTCCAAGAAGACTCTGGCCGACATTCAGCGTGAGGAGGAGCTGCGCAAGCAGAAGGCCAAGGAGGCTGATCGCCAGGCCAGCGCTGCTGCCGGTGCCGCTCTTGGCAAGCGTTATGCCGATCTTGCCAGCAAGACGTCGTCGCCCGCTGGTATTGCGCCCGCTGGCCCCGCGACACAAGCCATGACTGGAGGTGGATGGTCTACTGTGGGGGCTGGCGGCAAGGTCAAAGTTCCTACGGGTCCCGCTGCTCAGAACCGGTCTGCTAGCACCACCGGCATCAAGCCCTCGGCCACGCCGGTTGCACCCAAGGCCACACCCAAGCCCGCCCAGACATCGCTCAAAGATGCCAGAAACCTTGCCCTTGACGAGTTCAAGAACTGGGTCCGCCGTGAGCTGACGCGTGGTGCTATCAAGGAGGGTAAGTCTTGACTTGTCGATTCTTTTCTGATGTTCACGTTGCTAACTGAATGCGTGTGTAGCCGACGGCCTCACTAATACTTTGTTGGAAATGCCGCTTGATCAGCCCGATATTATCTCGGACGTTGTGTACAGTTGCGAGTACACTCTGAACGGCAAGGACTTTGCCATGGAGTTTGTGCGCCGCAAGAAGCTGGCGGACAAGGGCATCATCGAGAAGGACTCGACGGCGGCGTCGATGCCCAGCGATACCAAGATGGTCAGCAACAACGGCTGGAGCGAAGTGGCCAAGAAGGGCAGCAGCAGTGTGCAGGCTGCAAAGGAGGAGGCGGCGGTGCCTGGCTTCCGTGTGGTCCCCAGCAAGAAGAAGGGCAAGAAATAGGATCCTCTCGCCGCTGACCCCGCTGACCGTGTCGACGTTGGAGCCGAGAACTACTTCAAGGCGCTGCAGTTCAAAGGAGGAATGAAGTAACAGACGGAGGGAAGGGGGGGCGGGGGGCATGATGGGTTACATGCAGTCCGTTTTTGGTGCATCTCTTGTTGGCAGCGTAGCCAGTTGGCATGGCAAGCCCTGAGCGAGTATTACATGTAGCAGTAACTGTGTTGAGTATGTAGCGCTTGCCTCGACACCAAAAATATGGAGCGAGGAATAGTTATTCCGAATGTACGTTGGTTCGCCATCTGCGTGATTTTGTCATGACAGTTGGAAGATATGTTGGTTGGGGGGAGGGCAGCCGTATGCAGGTAAGGAAGCGCAAGGCTGAAGTTGGTGCCCCGGGGTGTCTTATGTAATCCAGGAGCTCACCAAAGGTGACAACCCCGCCATGGCTACACAGTGTGAACGGTGCGCCCCACTTTATCTTTGAGATCGCAAAAATGGAGGGGCACAAGTGGGAGGTGGTTTTCCGTATCATACCCTTTTGCACCACACTTTCCTTTTTTCTTTTTTTCTTCTTTCCTTTCACCGGATTGGAATAGGATAAAATCATTTCACAATGGGGTCACCAAACGGCGATACCCTCGTTTCCTCCTTGCCTGAGCTTTTGGAGCAAGGCAAATACCTCGAGGTTTTGCTGTCTGAACCAGGCAAAGCGCTGATTCGGAGCTATGTCCACCAGCAGCAGTCGCCATCACCACCACCACAGGACCAGAATCACAACAGCAACAGCAAAATTGTCGGACTAGCCGCTTTTAACGCTTTCTTGCAGGGGAATGTCACCGGCCCTGTGCTTGACGACACCCTCCTCTCTCGGGTCGAGAAAGCGTTTGGGACGACGGAGAATGAGAGGAAGGATCTCGCGAGGAGATGCCTGGCGGAGCTGCAGGTGGATGGCGTGGGGGTGTACGCGTATGTCCCGCTGTTGGAACTTTTTGGGTTGGCGAGGTGGGTTTTGTTGGGGTTGGGCGATGATGAGAAGGAGAGGTTGAGGGTGAATGTCTGGCATTACAAGCTCTTGACGGAGCCTAGTCTGGGGAGCGGGAGCAGTTTCAACAAGGGGTTGCAGTGGTGTGAGGTGCCCAGTTTGAGGGCGGAGATTGAGCGGGCGCTGGAGGGGGGGCAGGAAAAGGACGGGGAGGCGTTGGTCGAGAGGGCCATGGTCTGGATTATGCTTGGGCAGGAGAAGAAGGCTAGGGGGGTGCTGGAGGAGGCGAGGAAGGAGAGGGGGTTTGTTTATACGCTTACTGGAGCTTTGGGTAAGAGGACGAAGTTTCAGGAGAGGAGCACGAGTCAACTTGTTGTTTTGGCGAGGAGTAAGGGGGCGTTTGAGAGCGGGGGTGGGGAGGTGAAGCCCGAGGGGCTGAAGTTGAATGATGATACTTTGCTGGAGGAGTTGAAGTTTGATAAAGAGGGGGGAGAGACGGATATCGGGGAGAGGGATGATGAAAAGGAGGATGTGCCGGTGGAGTTGAGGGATATCAAACCGGATGAGCAGCCGCAGCTCGCGCCGCTGGATCAGATTATCTTGTTGGCGGAGGCTACGCTCAAAGATGCGTTCTCACCGGCGGACACTTTGAGCTCGGAGGAGGTGTTGCCTTTTGCGGTGAGGGTCATCTCAGATCAGGGCAAGACAAACTGGCAGATTTATACGCATGCGCTGCTGGTGAGGTCGAGGATTGAGGTGCACAGGAGCAGGACGATGGAGAGAGGGGTGCTGCAGATGCAGGCGGTGGTGGATCAGGTCGTTGTTGATACCACACAGCCGGAGCGTGCCCAGACGCAAGAGGAGAAGGAGGGAGAGGAGGAGAATGGGGTACCGGAAATCAAGGTCTCTGTGCATGGCGACGAAGCTGCCCCCGTCGACAACAAGCCAAAATCCTTCTTCCCCGCCGCCAAACCGTCAGAGACAGCACCTCCAGAAGTCAGATTGCGGTACATTCACACGCTGAGCTCGCCACCACGATGGCATCTGGAGTCAGAGCTGGCCTACTCCTGGGCTGGTGTCGGATCGCTGGTGTCCGCCCTGGAGATCTTCAAGCGCCTTCGCCTGTGGGCAGAGGTGGCACTTTGCTATGCCAGTAATGCCGCGAGGGAAGACGAAGGCGGGCGCGGAAAGGATGGAGAGGCCAGGGCAAAGGCTATCCTCCGGTGGAGGCTATTCAACAAGACGGGAACCGCCCCTGAGAACTCGGAGCAAGACGCAGACGAGGAAGACGTGGACCTTGACAAGATCCGAGAGGCCGACTACCACGGCCCCCAGCGGACGCCACCGCCCTCCAACGCCCCTCGCCTGTGGTGTCTTCTTGGAGACCTTGAGAACGAAAAGAACTACTACGAGCGGGCCTGGGAGATTTCGGGTCAACGATATGCCAGAGCCCAAAAGTCTTTGGGAGAATACTACTTGCAACAAAAGGATCTGCTCAGCGCCCGAGATGCGTACAAACAGGCGGTGCACGTCAACAGGCTGAGCAACGAGTTGTGGAACCGTCTGGGAGACATCAGCTTGCGCATGGGAGAGTTTGCCGATGCCGCTGAGGCGTTTAGCAGAGCCATCTCGTCCTCCGACTCCAATGGCGGCGAGGATGCCAGGACGTGGAGTAACCTCGGCAGCGCCTTTTACAGTCTCTATGTCGAGCGGGTCAAGGAGTTGAGGCAGCAAAACGAGAACGGCGTGTCAGCCGAGTCAGCAGCTGTCCCTGGTGATGATGAAGACGAGGAGACGGTTGAGAAGGAGGCGAAGGACCCAAAGACTTTGCTGACCCAGTCGTTGCATGCCTACAAGAAGGGGGCTTCGATTTCGCATGACAACTGGCGCATCTGGGACAATGTTATTACCCTGGCCTCTCGGCTGCGACCGATTGCTGTCCAGGAGGTTCTTCTCGGCTTGCAGCATGTGGTTAGGATCAGGAAGAGCGAGGACGCGGTTGATGTTGATGTTTTGAGGCTACTGCTCAACGAGGCTGTGTTGTCTGTGGAGAAGCCGGCTGGAACGGGCATCTACGACCCCCCTCGTGGATCGACCGAGAGAGCGGTGGTGCAGTTCTTGGAGACGTCGATTGTTCCCCTGACTACGGCCCGTTCTGAGTTCTGGGAGCTCATCACCAGAGAGCGAGTTTGGAAGAGAGACTTTGCGGGCGCCATTGACGCGGCTGAAAAGGCCTGGCGCGCTGCCATGGGCGGTGCTGGCGGTGGCCTGCTCCCCGGTTCCAGCAGCACAGGGCCTGATGGGAAGAGCAGGAACTGGTTGGAGGACAAGGATGCGTGGGCCGTCGTTGTCGAGAGAACAGATGAACTGGTCTCGGTCCTCGAGAACTATGGCGAGGAGGTTCCCGAAATCGGGGGCAAGTGGAAAGGCAAGGCTCGGTTGGCCGTCAGAAGTGTCATGGGCAAGGGCAAAGAGGCCTGGGAGGACACGGAAGGGTGGGATAGACTCAAGGGCTTGCTGGAGGGACTAAAGTAGGTAGAGCGGAACCTCGAAATAAAAGATAAGATTTGTGAGCACTTTTTCTTGTTGTCTCGAGATCGGCCTTTGCCGTCTCCAATTCATACTCGTACACCAAAACTCATTCATACACCAACGCTGAACCCGAACGACCCGTCGAACACATCTGCCTTGGCTGCTTCGATAGCACTTGCTCTCATCCCCCTGAGATCATGGAAGCTTGGCACCCTGTTGGGCTCATAGAACGTGAGCAGGTTGGTCATGTCTTCGTCCGTCATCTCACACATCTCCTCCCAGCTGTACTTGTCGCTCACGTCCTTCATCCAGGACATGCGCTTGGGGCCCTCCTCGGGCTCGGGCGCAACCTGGCGCAGCTTGACGCGCAGCTCGCCAATGGCCTCAATGGCCCTCCCAGCATTGGACGGCAGCTGCTTCGCAATGAAGCGTCTGATCATGCTCGCCAGCCTCGGCCCCTTGCCATTGGTGGACACCATGATCTGTAGCGGTCCATCGCGGTGCACGCTGCCAAAGTAAAAGTCGCACTCGGGCGGGACATCGGCAATGTTGGCCACCAGGCGCTTCTGCTTGCACAGCTTCCAGATCTGGGTCGAGGCGGCAGGATCGTCGATGGCTACGAGGACCATAGACCAGTCCTTGTCGTCGAGGTCCGAGGGGAGGAAGATCCGGTCGACGTGGGTTACCTGCTTTTGGGCGACACGGTACGAGACTTCGGCGTTCAGGCCGCTCGAGGGACAGATGACGGTGACGACGGCATCGGCGTTGAGGAGGTGGACAATCCGTCCTGCTGCTACCTGGGGAGATGTTGTGAGATATTGTACAGCATAGAAACAAAAGGCAATAGCTGTCACGCACCTCACCGCCGCCGATGACAAGGACAGGTTTGCCCTTGACCTGCCATGCAATCATCAGGCTCCCGCCGCCCTGGATGGCGGGGTACTTTTCCTGCGGTCGTGATTCAGCCATGCCGCCGTGTGTCTTTGCGGTCGCGACGATGGCGATGGAAGCACGGAAGGGGTTGGCAGCAGAAAAGAAGACATGGCGATGGCGAGATGGGTGGAAAAGCAGACGAGATCGAAAGCGCCATTCAAGAGTCACCATTGGTCCCGTCCCCAGGGCATCCCCGGCCCCTCCACCGCTTTCTTTCTTTTTTCCGTGATGGTTGCTAGGGGCCCTGTGGACCTATCGATAAGCCTTACGGATAGGTAATGGCGCCTGGGAAGCCTTGAGCACTGGGACACGGCAACCGTGCAGCCCGCACTTGCAGTGCAGCACACAGCACACCCTGCCCTGGAGCTGCAGCTGCAACCCTGCCTGAGGTCCATCCTGCTACAGAGTACCTAGGCCCGGCATCCCCAACACCCGACCCCGACCCCGACCCCGACCAACAGGAACAAGCACCTCAGCATCATGCCCGTTCCTGGGCTCTCCAACATCGCATTGCCAGCAACGATACCTTATCGCTATAGGGCTAGTATCGCCGCCCACTCGGCCCTCAGGCGTGCGACGGGCAGCATCAGCATCACCGACATAGGCACCGCAACATGTCGGCGCCCCGGAGGCTGGGAGGTGGCCGCATCCTGGGCAGCGGCAGCAAGGGGCTCGCCCCGCCCTCGTCGTCATCCTCGACTCCCGCTCCAGGAGGTGCCAACCCACGACGGGCCAGCGCCAACACAGCTCGCGCCGTGAGCCCATTCCCGCCCTCGGAAAGCAGTGTTAGCGTCGGCTCGTATCATTCGAGACTCTCGTCTCCCAACTCCCTCTCGCCGCCTTTGTCCAGCACGCTTCCGCCCTTCGCCCAGGATCTCGTCTCCCATGTCAGCCTCGCCGGTCCCTCGAACCGCGCCATCAGCAGCGGAGGGCTGGTTTGCCCAATATGCAACGAGGAAATGGTTACTCTGCTCCAGCTCAACCGCCACCTAGACGACGTGCACCAGGAGCTCCCCGAGGCCGAGCAGGACGAGGTCAAATCGTGGTTCGACAAGCAGGTGCTCAAAGCCAAGCGGTTCCAGCCGCTGTCTCTGATCAACCAGAAGCTACGCGGCATGGACGTGTTCGAGTCCAACGAAAGCCAACCTGTCTCAGCGCCGGCAGCCCCAGGCCGGATTGCAGAAACTGTTATCGATCCCGAGGAGCTGGTGACGAGGAAACACTGGCAGAGGCCATCGGGCAACGACACATGCACAGACCCGACATGCGATAGGAAATTGGGACCGCTGAGCGGCAGCGTAAATTGCAGGAAGTGCGGGAGGTTGTTCTGCGAGGAGCACACAATGTACCAGATGAAGCTGTCGAGGTCAGCCAACCACGAACCGGTCCGGGGCATCTGGTGTCGCGTGTGCGAGACGTGCTACAAGTCGAGGGGGGGCTACAATGACCACAATGGTGTTTCACGAGACCATACGGCGGACTTTGCTGCCGTGCGTGCCAGGAAGGTGGAGAGGCAACGCCTCGAGGTCCAGAGGCTGGAGAAGAGGTTGACCAAGCTGACTAGGCTGTTGGCCGAGGGGCCTCAGGACGCGGGTGTCAACTCGGCGTTGCTATCACCGCTCGGCGGGGCAAAACACATCAGAAAGACTATTGAGCAATCTGTGGTGGCTTGGGAAGAAGATGCGTCTGTGGCGAGGTGCCCGTTCTGCAAGCAAGAGTTTCGGTCTTGGACGTTTAGGAGGCATCACTGCAGGATATGTGGCAGGGTTGTGTGTGCGGATCCGGCGACGGGGTGTTCGAGTGAGATTGGATTCAATGTCGCAACCCGCATGTGCTTGCTCGTCCGATGGCTCAAGAATCTGTGCTAACTGTTCGGTAGCAACCGCTTTGCCCGCAGCCGAGAAGCCAACCGGTGGTGGCCATGTCAGTGTCGATGTCAGGATGTGCTGCGACTGCAAGACGACCATTTTCTCACACCGAGATTTTACTGATTCGATTACCCACAAGCCTCCGGATCAGATCGCGTACGAGAACCTACGCCAGTTTGAGCTGGGCATCCGAAACATGATGCCAAAATTCCACAAAGCACTGGTGGCATTGCAGCCGCCTGACGATAACAGCAACAAACCACCGCCAACACACGCCGAGATCCAGCACGCTGCCAGCATTCGCAAGCGCCTCACATACTCGTTTCGCCAATATGGCGAGGCAGCAAAGCGCATTCAGAACATGCCCACCGACAGCCCTACGCAACGGATGCTTCAACAAAAGATTTATGCCGCTGCTTCGGCCTTCATGCACACCAATATGCTTCCCCTGAAGAGCCTGCCATCTATTTTGAAAGCCAGCGGGCCGGGCCACCGGCGCTTGCTCTCCAACGGGCCGTCGCACTCGCCCCTGCGAAACGGCGAGTCGGCCACATTCGATGCCGAAACTTCCAGCGTGGGAGGGGCGAGCGAGGTCAGCACCGCCGTGTCGGCTCTCGAGACAGAGGAGAAGGAGGCAAAGGAGAAGCTGATTGTCTTGGAGGAGCAGCGGTTTATGGTGCACGAGATGCTCAATCATGCAAGGGCGGCGAGGAGATTCGAGGAGGTCACGGCGTTGACCAAGAACATCGAGGAGCTGGACAGGGAAATTGAAAGCTCAAAACGAACTGTGGCCGATGTTGCGGAGAAGTTCCAGGGGCTTTATGTTGGAGGAGCATGAGGCGGCGACAGAGAGGAAGGATGAGTATTTAGCGGGCATGGCTCGGAGTTTGGGAGTCATCTTTTGTGCCAAGGACAGCTGGTTGGAACGAACCAAAACATGGGAATATCAATCTACGCTTCGGATATTCATCGCAAGCCCGGGGCGATCTTAGCTTGTCGATGTCAAGCAGACCCCACTGCTGTCTTTTCGAGCTCAAAAGAGCGGTTGACAGACGGGGTGGCACTGTCACGGCTAGGTCAAGACACAAGCTCGAACTGCCCATGGCGCACGAACGCGGCGTCTGTCCGTCTGCCCAAATTAGCGGCCAACCAGACTGCAACCTCCGGAGCTAAACATCTCGGACACAACTATCTGGCCTGTATTCCGCTCTTGCCGCCGTCTACGTATACTTTTGCATCCCCAAAACCGAAGGCAAGACCCTGGAGGACCTGGCGTGCCTCTTTGCCCACGGCTGGCTGAGATTGACGAGCAGAGACACGGGGCCAAGAACAGGGAGTTCCTCCGGAGAGAGGAGGCGTACAACAGGAGGAGGGCCCGGAGGTTTGTCCGTGTTTGAGTCCGTGGTCAAGTCTCGCGAATGGACGACGTTCAAGGACTGGGTATCGAGGTGTCTGTCTCGCCGGACGAGGCCGGGGGAAAAGGTTATGTCTCCTGGGCTGCCCCAGGGTTCTTGTGCCTCTGCTACTTCTTCCGCTTCTGTTTCGAGACGGACGTCGGTGGATGACAAGACGAATGTGGTTTGCGAGTCGTTCGCCACGGGTCTGGAAGAGCGGTATGGCGAGGATCAGGCAAGCAGATCACGAAAGAGCTTCATCTTTAGTGTCATCGGGAAGGGGAGGCGGGCGTCCAGCGTGGCGCTTGATGGGTCCATTGCTAGCTCGCCTCGGGATGGTAGTGCGGCAGGTTCGGTGTTTTGGAGCACAACTTAGTGGGAGAGCACTGGCTCAGGATGGTGGAGATCTGCCAACTCCTTCCTCGAATCCTTTGCAGCCGGGCCACCAGATGGCAACGGCGGCCCATTCTGACGTGGAGGATGCCTCGTCGGAAGGAGCGGTGTCACCTTGCACGCTGGTTCCTCCCAGCGGTAAGAAGCAGAATTTGCCCCTGGCTGTCGTGATTGCAGAAAGTGGTTTTGTAAAACAAGGCGTGGATGGAAATTGACTGCTTAGATTGATGGAATGGCCCATCGTGGCTGACTTTGGCGGTAAAATAATTGACCACTGTTGGATACTTACCTATCACACAAAGGCCCGTGACTCATGATTCTCTTGCCTCTAAAGGAAAAGGAAAAGAAAAAGGGGAAGAAGGAACAGGAAAAGGAAAAGGGGAAGAAAGGAAAGGAGAAGGAGGAGAGAGAGGACGGGCGTCAGGGCAACCGTGATAGGGTTAGGGTTATACACCGGAGATGTCAGTGTCACCCCGCCAAAGTGGCCAGTTGATGGATGGAATCGAGGAGGCCAAAATCTAAGCAATATTCACCAAAACACATCTTCAACAGTGCCTTCACGCGCCGGTTACAAGTCTCCATCATCCATTCACATTACCTTTCAGTCACTGTGATTCCCCATCATCTTCCGACGCGACAAAATGCCACCCTCACCCCCGCCCACCATACCCCCCACCGCCAATCCAGACCACTCCAACATCACAATCTCCACCTCCCCAACCGACGACTACCGCCCCAGGTACAGATTCTACAACAACACCTTCTCCCTCCACCGCGTCTCCCCCCTCTACCTGGGACCCGAGCCCGACCACAGCGGCGGCGCCGACCCTCCCCCCACCACCATTGGCCCAGCCCAGCTCCGCCTCGTCGCCCAGCGACTGCGGGATGTGCTTGTCGGGGATGTCGCCCGAGGCGTGGAGGTCGGTCTCACAGCTACAGACAGCGACAGCGCCAGCAAGATCGCCAACAGCATGGGCAGCCTCGAAGTGGTGGTGGTGAGACCTGTAGAGGCGGCTGATTTGCTCGATGTGAGTCTGGAAAAGATGAAGGATCAGTACCGGCAGGACGAAGGGAGCCAAGAGCTGGCGCGTTCGTGGCGCGCGCTGGAGGCGAGGGTCAAGGGAAAGCTGGGGTTGGCGATAGAGCTGGTGTATGAGCATTCGATGGGCCTGGCGTTTCTCTTGCCTGACCTGTCCAAGTCGTCGGCGTTGGCGCCTGGTGCGGCGGATGATGAGACGGGGACGGGCCGGTTTCTGTGGCTGCCGGTCATGTTGACGAGGATGCCTGCTCCGGTCAGGGTGGCGGTGACGCAGTTTTTGGAGAGGGAGTTTGACTGCAAGATTAGTCCGACCAGGTTTGGAACCAGGACGATGGTGGGGGGGTTGGAGAGGTGGATGGAGACGTTGGAGAGGAACAAGAAGGAACAGGAGAAGGATCTGCTTGTGGCGGTGGGGTTTAACACTGTAGCGATGATGCCGAGGCAGATGGTGGCGGTGGAGGGGGGGAGGGAGGAGTTGAACAAGCCGGGCTTGGCTACGATTGATGTCATTCTTCCGTGGCGCAAACTGGTCCCGTTTTGGAAGCGCGGGAAGGAGATGGAGGAGGGGGAGATGCGGAGGAGGTATGAAGAGGGGGGTGTGGAATACAAGGCTTCGGCTGTCACGTTGGCCGGCAAACAGGGGATGAGGGAGGAGGGATGGGGGTGGAGGAGCGAGGTTCAACAGCCTTTCCTTGAGGCTCTGTCAATGTACACCAAGAGAACCATCGCGATGGGACTGTTTCATCCAGCGGTGCGGATCGTCAAGGTTGGCTGCTCGGGATTCACGGCGGCCGAGGGAAGATTGAAGATCTTTCCTACGATGGACAGGGCTGGGGTGGTAGACTTGTTGGCTATGTTGTGTGAGAAGGCTGTTTCGCAGCAGCGTTGAGCGAGTGACAGAACGGCGGTACGGGGAGTGGAATTGTATGTTTCTGCGCTGACTGATGAGGATTTGTTTCGGGACACCAGCGTCATGGTGCAGCGTCAAAGGTGCAGCGTCAAATGTATTTGATTTTCAGTTTCAGGCATAAGAAAAGAGATGTCAAGATGTGACACGGTCATTCCTACATCCTTTTTATTTATGACTGCTAACTCGAGTGATCCTACAGAAAAGCTCTTACAACCTCCAGGAATGGTCGTCTATCTCATGAACCCCCTCTTGCCATCACCATCAGCATCCTTCATGGGGTTCAGCCGGTCGAGCAAGCTGGGCTTCGCCTTCTCCGTGTTGATGCTGCTCGAGCCAAGACCGGTCGTGCCAGTAGTGCTGGAAATGTTCTCTTCGGACGAGGACATGGACGAAGAAGAAGAAATGCCTGATGTACCAGTGGTGGCAGTGCTTCTGCTGGTGCTCGAAGTCATCTTGTTGGGAGCGGGTCCGCTGCCAATCTCGTGGCCGCAGCCCTGCTGATGCACGCCCTTGGGGCAGCCCTCAAAGGCACCGTAGCGCTCGGAGCTTCCTCCCAGAGCACCACCCTGCTGCTTGAATTCTTTCATCGACATGGCCGGGAGAGTGGTGGTGCCGTGGTGCTTGGCCTGCTCGTGGTGGACCTCGTGGATGGGCACCGTGGTGTGGACCACTGAGGGTTGGATGGTCTCCTTGTGAAGAACAGGTTGAATCGTCTCGTGGACGTGGCTGCGATGACGAGTCAGTTGGGCTGTTGCTGCAGGCGGGATGTGGGGAAAACATACTGGTGAACCTGCTCACCCTGAACGACGGGGGCGTGGCTCTGCGTGTGGGTGGTGCCCGTGACGGTGCGCTCATCTTTGAGCTTGCCGGCCTCGGCTCTCAAGGCTCTCTCGGTGGCCTCGTTGTCGCGGTTGTCGAACTCGCGGTTGACGACCTTGCCGCGGTTGTGGATGTGCTGCTCGGGAAGGACTTCGGTGTCGTGGATGGGCTGGACCTTGCGATGGTAGTGGTCCTGGTGGACCTCCTTGTCGATGGCGGTGTTGATCTCCTCGTGCTGGGTTGGGCGGACGGTTTCCTTCTTCACGGCGGGTGCGACCTGCTCCTCGACGGTGGTGTCGTGGTGACCTGCCTTGGAGACGAACTCGTCGACGGCTTGCTTTGCTCGATCCATGATGGTGAGTTGTTTGTTTCGGAAAGAGAGCTGAGGGTGAATTGGTGTGGGGAAGTTGATGGGTTGCAATAGACGGATCATGGATGGTGGGATGGAGTTCTTATAAGGTAACTCGCTACGGGTAGAACCTGGGGCTGGGGGGCATTGTCAATGGTGACGTTGGTCGATGACCTCAACCGCCATTGCTAGTGACGTTGACTCGTCTCCCATCTTGCTCGGACTCTGCGGCAGACTAGGTTCGATGTGTTGAGCAGATGCTGGCCATCTGATCATACATTACATGGTGTAGGTTCGCGGTTCGGGAGTCGTCGGAGGAAACGGTCCTCATCAACAAGGTAGTAAGGGTGGTGTGTTGGAGCCAACATGGCCAACCAGTCTCCAGCAAACCCAACGATCGAGAGATCGGCGGATCGCCCGTATCCTCGTGCCTTAGTCCCGGGTCCAGACTCACAGGGCTATTCCTGGTTGATTGGTTGCAGTAAGGGGGGGGAGAGGGGGGGGTTGCTAGCCACTGCATCACCACACACCTCCAGCACAAAGATCGAAGCTATGGCCACGCATGACGCTGTCCAGTGGATCAACAACGCTTACACGCGGGGAGAACCTCCAATCATGACGTTTAGCCTCTTCCAGATGGATACGCTACGATACGTGCTCGGGGAAGATCCGATCTCAGAGAGCATGGCAACCTACGGCAAGCTATGGCAATGTCCGTTGAACGCCGGCTTCTACCACGACCTAGTCTAGCTTCATCCACCTCAGCTCCCCCTTCATCGTGAAACATGCTCTCGTGTCGGTCTACTTTGGCAGTATAAGCACCAGTTCAAACTTGGGGAATCAGTATGGGACAGAAGAGCAGTTGCCTCGCGCACAAACATACCGGTTTAGGAACCGCATCGGCCGAACAGCATCGCCAGCCTGAGAACGGCACAGCCCAGGACCTTCTCAAGGATATCGCCCGGAAAAGCAAGCTCCAGGCTCGCGGGATGTCGGGGAAATGTCAAGATGGCGAGGCTGGCACCGGGAGCTCGATGCACGTAGCGGAGCAGAATGGAAACGCAGTTGGCGAGAGTGCATCAACAAAGCGGTTGAGGATCACCTCAACTGAAGATACTGAATACGGAGACAACTGTTACTGCGCGTAAGTTTGTCCCATTCTGTCGTCATAAAAATTGCATGTGGCTGACAGTGTGCGCACCGCTTGTTCTGATCTAGCCGTCGTTCAAGAGGTCGTGAAACCCCACGTCCACGAGATTCGACAAGAGGAAATCCATCGCGACATTCATGTACACACAAACCACACCATTATCCAGCCTGTCTACGATCTCGAAGCTCTACCACCGCGGCACTTTGTCCCCGACGAGACTGGAAAGCTGGTTGAGGTCAGCGAGTTAGACCTACCCGCGTGCACGGGACGAAATGCCCAATGGCACATCGCGGCTGGCCCCGTCCCCGACAAAACCAAGAGCAAGCAGGCTCTCGGGACGGCGGCGATTACCAAAACCGGGTCACCCAATAGCAGCAGCGGGGCCGTGAACGACTCGGACACTTCCTCGTCGACGGATTCCGTGCCCGTGATGGAGGTTGGCCAGCAAGAAGAAGCGGTAAGAATGATGACAACCACCCTATGATTGCGAGAAAAGACTCAACATCTGACTCGCAGTATTGCCTCGCTCCCGAGCATCAGACGCCAATTGTGCAGAAGGCTGCCGTACCAAGGTCAACAACGACGCAAGCCAATGAAGGTACGACAAAGAAAACCTCTCGACTGCCGAAACCGTCGACTGCGGGTCAAACAACAACGGTGGCTGCAAAGTAGCAAAGCCTGAGCTGCATTTGTGTCCATCTAGGTGTGTTGCGGGAAGGCTTTGTCATTGGTTGCCTATGTCTTCCTTTTGTTGTCAAAGTATGTTGGTCAAAGACACGGCGATTGTCAGTTAGTGGCTTGTTATTAAGCTTGGTGAGAGATGATTCAAGTTGGGAATGGTGGAAATTTAGGCGTGTCCAAGGTAGATACCTCCCTACAGCTAGGTACATGATTCTCTTTAAAGAAAAAGAAAATGGATATGGGTAGTGACTTTCCAGCCATGATTACAGTTGTGTATGGGAGCCAATATCATGCTTGATGATAAAAGCTGAGATATAATGATGCGACTTGTGTCTACGGTAGGTGCGTCAGTTAAGGTACCTAGGTAGGTAGCTATTGTACTTAGTCTGGGCATCAACATGTGGTAGCTAGGTCTTTCAGATTGTCCTTGATAGAATTGTGGCACAATTCTCAACTCATGTAATGGCTAGAATAAAAGCAACGAGTCGTCGTCGTCGCCGTTGAGGTGACATTTCCCGTTGCCTCCAGCCCCTCATAATCACGGCACCTCCCTGTAGCACCCACTCCACATTGAAGCATGCGATTAAGTGATTTTCATGCTTCTCTTCGATCATCAAATAGCCTAGAACTTCCTTTTGGCACAGTTCCATCACCACACATCACTAATGTCGTGTTGGAACAGCACAACCTCTATTCACCTCGGGTCTGGTAAACTTGTCACCCGGTCGACTGCATCAAGTCAAGTTTCCGAGTGTCGAAGTGAGGTGGAGAACAAGGAGAAACTTGATCAGTTTTGAATACCATACCTGTTCAAAATGAATCCCTTCGCATAAAGACCAAAAGCCAAAAGCGTCACTCCCTCTTTATTCATGAAGGCTGCTCGATCTGTGACATTTCTACATTGTTGTGAGCCTTCAGAGGATTTATACATGTCACAATGCCTCAGGGCCATCGTAACTGGGTGTAACCACCTCATCTGCTTGAATCCTGAGCAAACGGCCTTTTCGACATTTTTGTGCTCTTGCTTGGGAGGCATACCGATTAGACCTACCTTGGCCCACCTACTCCTACCCATTGTTGCTTAGGCACACTATCGATTTTAAATTTGCCAGAATGGTCGACGTCACCGACGAAGATAATTCGTACTGGTGGGCCAGATCGCCAGGCGACCTACAGATCTTTGATGTGCCTGACGTGCCGGTGCCCATCCTCAACCTTCATCCGATTCTTTACGAGTATGAATACGACAAGTGGATGGAAAGGGTGGGAGCTATACCGGAAGCTGCAGTCGACCTTGACCCAAACTACAAGCCGTTACCCCCGAAGGATCTCGCGCCGGAACTTATGACGGTTCTGAGGTTCGGCAGAACACCAACTTGGCCAGACCTCTGGCGGGACGCGATCTCATCGCCCTACTTCGCTTGGCCAAACTACAAGCCCTGTCTGGGCGGCCCGATAACCTGTTTCACTTGTCTCAAGCCCCTGGACATCCCGTATGCCCAGGAGCCGGAGGGTGCCTTCGGAAACTATGACGGTGAGGCAGCATTCGAAGATGCCGTGATCGTCGAGGGATGCTCTCATATAATGGGCGCCGATTGCCTCCAGGCGTGGTTGAAATCCAAATACCCAAACGATGGCCAAAAGGACTTTTACCGTTGGGTCCGCGGCGAGATCATGCTAGGCGAATGGGATGAAGACTTTCAACAGAGAATCAAACCCTATCACGAGAACCCGGCCCTGCGGAGAACTATTGAACCTGGTTGCCCCATATGTGCTGCTCCCCAAACAATCGACACAAACTATGGCACAGAAACCATGGATCGCAGCGCCGTGACCTTCAAGTTCCCCAACATTAAACGCATCAACGTGCAGTGCATTCGGTCGTACGCCGAAATGACGGAAAACGACATGCTCGTTGCTGGGTTTCCCTGGATTGTACTGCGGTCCAAGAAGAGCTATCGCGAGGAAGTGGAAAGGCAACGAGTCTACTTTAGAACCATATTAGAACAGCACGAACAGCTGGGTTGCGAAACACATCCGGACGTCCCCGGCGGGCCTTACAATGCCCTGGACTACGCCTATTTGAGGAACAAGGCCTACGAACGTGTGCTCATGCTCCACGTGGGAGAGTTGCTTTATCAAGATCACCTGTGGAGATCACAGAACCCACACGTGGATGTTGACTCGGGCTCGGACGAGGATATGATGGATGTAGATGATGACGACAATAATCCACCGCCGCGGGGAGGGGGGGGGCCTGCCGCTGGAAACCGTCAACAGCCACGAACACCACCGAACCGGCAACCGCGACCACCAGTGGTGCATCGACCGCCGCCGCCGGCAAACCCACCGAACCCGGGCCTGGCGCGGCCGCCGATTGTCCCACGGTGGTTGAAACAAAGCAAGCGCAATCCCAACCCCCATCCAAGGCCGCTGGATCCAAACGAGCCGGCACCACCGCCAGTCCTTCCGGCGCCGGACCCCTGGCCCCTGGACTATGACACTCCGGAAGAGCTGAACCCCCTTCGGTGTCCCTGGTGCGGCAGAGACGATTTCAAAAAAGCCACCGAAAGGCGCAAGCACGAGTACAGGTTTCATAACCGCCCTGACCTGGGAATGGGGGGGAGGCTAGCTCGAGATGACCGTCGCGCTGCAAGGAAAGACGCAGCAGACATGCTCCGAGCAGCGCGTCGACTGCAAGAACTTCAGGCGGCGGACCCACCGCAAGGGGACGAGCAACAACTTCGACAAGCGCAGCAAGCCTGGCTGGATGCGCGGAGACCACTGCGACCTGGGACGCAGCCGGATTCACCGCAACCGCCAGGAGAGGCCAGGACAGGCAGCCCGGCAGCGGAACGTGCAGAGCGACTGAGAGCCTTCTGGTCGGAACGTGCACAGCAGGATGAACAACAACGTGAGGAGTATAGGGCTAAGATACAGCGCGAAGCTACACGACGTGAGCTGGAACCACATGAAGAACTGTGGCTGCAAGGGGGTCGGGCTGAAGAGGCACTTGTAGCTGCCCGGGTTGGCCGGGAACAGCAGCAGCAGCGATTCGGGGCAGGACGGGCTGAAGCAACAATTTTAGCTGTGCGGCGGCAGCAGCAGCAACAGCAGCAGACACCAGAGCCCGAATCACCGCCTGACGATATATACGGCGTATCACCACGCAGGTCGTGAGGTACGGTAGGTATACAGAATAGATGTCACATATCCGCTTGCTTGTTTAGCATGAATTCAACAAGGCCTGCCGCAGAAAAAGGGCGTATTTAGCCAAAAGCAAACATGTGCCGCGTCTTCCCCACAAAATGGACGTCGAAATGCCGTGTTCCAAACCACCATGCCAAGGATCACCATGTGTAAAAGCTCCGATTGGCTGGACTGATCGGGAACTGGCATCTCAGATATAGCGGCTTTGCGGGGAAGTCGATCCATTGATTATTTCCCAGAGACACGAGCCGTCAGGGTTTACCGTCTGGGGTGTTCCGGCTAAGGGGAGATCCCAGGTGATTAGAGGTACCTTACCTAGCAGGCGGAGGGCCGATGTTGTCATCAACCGTGGAGTTTGCAACAGCTGGGAAGATGAACATACTCACCAATATGCTATGAATACTCGACATAAAGACATAAGACCTAAAGAACACTGGTAGGTGGGTACCTATGAAGGGAACAGTGAAAAGAGGACCTACCGTCAAAAAGGTTGACAGGTGACCTAACATCTAAGGGGCGATGGGAAAGACATGTAATTAACATCAACACAACCTCGGCAATCATCCGCCGAGAAGATTACCCTTTGAGCGTTCAGCCACCCGTCCATCCGGACCCGGTCGAGGGGGATCTTCAACATCATCTCTGTCTATAAAAATCCTCTCGTTCGCCCCCAATTGAATGGGCTCTGAAGGTGTCAGCAGTGAGCCGAGCCTCGACCCGTCACCAACCTGTGCTCCTCTCATACCGCCTCTCAAAATGAAGGTCTCAACCATCACCCTCCCTATGCTGGCCAGCCTGGCCACCGCCAACCCAGTCGAGCTCACCGAGCGACAATCCTGCCCCCCAATCCACATCTTCGGCGCCCGCGAGACCACAGTCCCCCAAGGCTATGGAACCTCCCAGGGGCTAGTCAACATGGTAGCCCAGGCCTACCCCGGCGCCACGCGGGAAGCGATCGTCTATCCCGCCTGCGGTGGGCAATCCCAATGCGGCGGTGTGAGCTACGAGAATTCTGCTCGCCAGGGGACCGCCGCCGTGGTCCGCGCCGTTACAACCCTCAACCAGCGGTGCCCCGACACCAAGATCGTCCTGATCGGATACTCCCAGGGCGGTCAGATCATGGACGGCGCGCTCTGCGGCGGGGCGGGCGCTACCCTCACGGGTGCTCCTCTTGCTGCCGTCAAGGCGGCTATTTTCATGGGCGATCCGATGTATAACCAGGGGTTGCCGTACAATGTTGGGACTTGCAGGGCTAGAGGGGTATGTATCGTCCTTTGTATCTGTCGGTATGCTGGAGGTGCTGACGAGAATTGCGCAACAGTTTGCCGGCCGACCCAACGGCTTCCAGTGCTCCCCGGGCAACCCGGCAATCATCCAGTCGTACTGCGACTCGACCGACCCGTATTGCTGCACTGGCAACGATGCCAACTCGCATCAGCAGTATGTCAACAAGTACGGGCAGCAGGCCTTGGCTTTCATCCGTCGCCAGCTGGATGCTGCGTAAGTTGTTGGCCGTGGCTTGGCATCAAAAAGGGGTTCAGGGGTTCAGGGGGGTTACAAACAGTAGGGTTAGGATAGCCTAAAATACCTATGACATTTCAGAAAGCTTCTCTGTGATTGCCCTGGTGAACGATACGTATATGTACCTCTTTCTGGAGCCTGATGTAAACAAAATGCCATTGTTCTTTTATCATGATGACGAAACTCGATGTTTAACAGACCTGAGGGCGCCTGAAAACCCTAACCCTCTTTCCAACCAAATGCCTCAGCTGGGTCAACAGTCAACATACGAACAAAGAGACCTCAAGGGTCCAGTGATTGGCTCCCAAATTCAATATGAGAATACGGAGACAGCTCCGAAAGAGGTTTACTCGCTTGGCAAGAAAGAAACCCGCATCCGGATTGTCAACACCAGTCTGGCCGCAACCAGGTGGTGGCTCTCATCGTGGTAGATGTAAAACAGGACCAGTAGAAGATGAGTTTCTTTATTGAGAAACATAAATCCCGGAGCCAATTCTTGTCCATGCCTCGGTTTGGACCATTTGCTTACCCCGTCAACTCGCAAGACAAGACAGCACTGAGCGAGCTCTCTCGAGCCATTCACATCGAGCAAAAGTCCGAGTCTCGTACCATCCATAAGAGCGAAAATGGGAGCCACATCCAGAGTTCTCCTCGTCCTATGCCGTCTAGGCGAACTCGTCTGCGGAGCCGTCGTTCTCGGTCTTCTGGGGCAGGCCTTCTCCTTGATCAACGACGCCGGCGTGCTCGAGCCCGAGGGACGACTGATCTACACCGCTGTCGTGGCCTCTCTGACGATACTTGACTCGTTAATATTCATCGTCCTGTTTGCGTACTCGTACTGGTCATTTTTACTGGACTTTATCCTGTTTGTCCTGTGGATTGTGGCTTTTGGGCTGCTCGAGTCGGTGAGTTGAACCAGAATGGATCTGAAAGATGAATATACTGACGGGCGTTGCAAACGAAGCTTACCGGCATCCACACCTGCTCCTCCTTCTGGTTTAACAACTACTGGGGTTATTACTGGGGCAGGTGGTATGTCCGCGGGCCACCTGGCATGGACATCAACTGGACGGGCTGCAACGCGTGGAGGACGGTCTTGGCCTTCAGCTTCATCGCCTCGATGATTTACCTTGCCAATGGCTTCTTGGTGAGTGCCTCCTACCTACCTACTTTTCGCTGCCTTGTCTCGCACGCTGACTGACCGACACAGGGTGTGTACTGGACTCTGGAGTACGGCAACATCAGAACAAGGTCCAAGGGCTTCTTTGAGTAAGTTCGGCTTCTATACAGCCTTCGCATTCTGCCTACTTGAAACTTTCGCTGACCAACATCTGCACAGACGCAGAAGAGGATTGGGTGGCGATACTGGCGGCGCCAGTGGACATCTTATCAAGGAGGGTGGCCCTGGGATCACGCAGACTCCTGTTCAGCATCGCAATGGCGTTATGGGGGCTGGACTGAACAATGCCGCCCCTGCAACTCCGGTCAACACATTGCCAGCTGATACCGTAGACCCGGCTGCAAGAGTGTAGACGATCGAAGGCTGCGGGAAGGGGGTTTTGAGACGGCGAGCTCGTGGTTCGACGGTTATGTATCACGGCCGTCAATTTCATACGTCGAAAGCCTTGCATGTGGTGTACCAGGTTCATCAGATATGATCAAGGCGATATATGGAATGGGTTCAAACCTGACACGTTGCAGTGAGAATGAATAGATTGGATCACGCAGAAGAGGGTTGTTCATATGAGTCACCATATATGGTTCATCTCTTCCAGTTGTGGTCACAAGTGGACGCACTGTCATGTTCCATTTCAATCTGGAACCTGATGAAACAAGTAAGTTGCCCCCAGAGATCAGGTAAGACTCGGGTGACGACCAGCTGCCTTGTCGTTGTCAATGCGCGTAGGCAGGCCCTACAAATTTACAGCAGAAATAGGCTCAGTGCACCGTCAACACCAGTCCTGGGTATTGACTTTATTCACTAATTGTACATCAAGGTTCATGCCTGTTAGGCTAGCATAACACCATCCCATCTGCTAGGTAGGTAAAAACTCAGGGGCTACTCCACACCACTCCACAGACATTGACACATTAACACATTACAGTCATTACCCCCTCTTTCCAAATCTCCCTCATAATCCACCTTCATTGCCTATCAGACTTCTTCTACCTTTTATCAAGTACCGAGCAAGATAAATCAACATAATAATAACAAGGTACCTGTGACATGCCACTTCTAAACCAAGCCTGACATCTTTGTTGACTTTCACTGTGGCAACTTTAGTAACCTGCCTGATTGGGCGTCGTATTCACAATGATATAAAAGATCGCCCAGGCAAGTACCGCAACAACCCAAAATCTCGGTGTAATCCACGGCTTTCCACCCCCACCACAAGTGTGTAACGGTGACATCGCCCAAGACAAAAAACGTTGCCTGTGATGATCCAAAACACCACCATAGAGTGGCGTCAAACAAAAGCATGTGGTAACTCCAGGACGGTTAGACGCATAGCCATGATCAAAGTGTCAATCTACCTACCTTACCTACCTCTTCCCTCCATCACGAACAAGAGACACCACAACCTGCAACCCACAGTTGTTTGATCAGAATTAACATTTACCTGGTATCCAAAATCCCAACATGCCTATCAAAAACTAATGCTATCCAAAGAAAAAAAAGAAAAAAAAGCAAAGAAAAAAAAAGCAAAAGGGTATATTTGTAGCACAGACAGACACACCTTTCTCTTGGCACCAACAAACCTAAAGCCTGCAAGAGCAAAGATTACTTTCCGCCAGAAAAAGAACATGCACCCCCCCCATCCAGCCAAAAAGCATGGCGTGAAAAGGCCTCCAAGATACCTGAAAACAACAAGAAGCCCTGACAAATTTCCACCAGAAACAGAAAAGATGCTCTACTAATAAAAATGCGTTCGCGCGCATGTGCATGTGTGTTGCTCCGCCAGCTCCCAAAGTTACCCATGCCCAAGAGTCCCTTTTTGATAACCGATACATGGAGTCCCAGGTTCCCTACCTAGGTACCTACCATCCAACCCATTTCACCGACACCAGAAACAAAACAAGACGGGGAAAAAAACAAGGAAAAACAAAAACAGGAAACGCAGGAAGCCAAAACAAGATGGGTGACAAACACATGAAACAAAGACGGGGCAAATCTCCAAGGCTAAGCACAACCAAGGCAACCTCAAAGTCCACAACAGTCACAAAGGCTGCGCAAGCAGACGACGACAACGACGACGACAACCACCTCACACGTCCTTGAGCACAGCCACTCCTAGACTCATGCCCTCCCCACCACCATCGAACCCGTGGCCTTGAACAAAAGCCGGACAATTTGCCCCCGAAGCCCCATTCACAACAAGACATCGGGTAGATATCTCCCTCCCGCCCCCGCCCAACAAGAGAGAGGGAGGGAGTGAGCCTTGATACCGTTGCCAAGAGCCCCCATGTGTATGCACCTGACCAACAGGGGGGAGGTGTCCTGCCGGCATCTAAAGTCTCGCGAACGTGTCTCGGGATCGGATCCGGATGGCAGATGAGCAACCAACCTTGACCAACGCGGATACGGTGCGTCATGCAGACGCCATAGGTAATCCCTACCGATCCCGGCCAGCAGCAAGGCAGGCAGATGCTGCTCCCATGGCTGGCTGGTGTGCGACCACCCAGATCATGCAGTAAACCCGGAACGGTAGTTCCATTCGTTGCCGTATAGACACACGCCCAGTCCCATCTTCTCGAAAGACAACCTGGAAGGTGGTCGAGTCCAAGCTGCCCAGACTTGACAAAATAAAATGCGGGTCGGTCGGAGACTTTGAGATGGTGCCACACCTGGGGGAGGGGGGGGGGGGGGGGGGGTCCTCGGGACGTGCCTAGCGGGCGAGATGGAGGTGGCCTCTGGTCAATGATTGGCCGTGCCACACCAGCTGACCCAAACTCCCACTACTAGATGTCCCACACACCACACCCATACACACACTCTAACAAACACACACACACACACACAACGGTCTCCGCCCAGGTTTGTCGTGAGAGAAGAGGCAAGGTCCTCTCGAATCCTGACGGTCCTGTTCGGATGGTTGAATCCCAGTTATCGACAACCCCATCTGATATCCTCGTGCGCGCGTGTGTGCGTGTGTGTGTGTGTGTGTGTGTGTGTGTGTGTGTGTGTGTATGATGTTTTCCCGTATTCCGTGCACACCACCAACCCCTTGGCTCCTCCATCTGCCACGGTCACAACGGCTTTGACGTCAAAAAAAGCGCTGCGGGGGTTTGTTGTCGACAATGAGGACCAACAGCCGACGGCCCACTCGATCAAGCCCGCTGCGCACCATCACCGTATGCCCCACCACCATACACCCCGCCGTGGGTACTGCTGGACTGGGCACCATATCCATCCGTGACAGAGTAGTTATCCCAGCTTCTCGACTGTCCCTGTGATGCAGGCACGCCCGAGTGAGCACCATATGCCCCTTGGCTGTGGTGGACGGCGTGGTGAGATGGTCCCGGAATGCCGTAGGGGGAGGCCATCCCTTGCGCCGCCGTGCTTCTGTGATCGTACACTGCGGGGAGAGCGGACAGGCGTAGGCTCGACGAGTCGGTCTTGATGGTCGGCGAGAGCGGTTTGGCCGCACCGTACGTCGGCCAAGAAGAGGCGCCCCCGGTGAGGGTTCGTGGACTGGTGAGCGGGTCGGCGTGGTGATGGCCGGCACCGACATAGCTCGCGGTCGAGATGGAATCCGGAGCGAGACCCGAGGACACCGCGGCGGACAAGGCCGGGTACGGACTGCCAAGGTGGTCCGCCGACGCGGGGGTGGCCATGCGCACGCGGGGGGAGTTCAGCGTCTGCCCCATGGCGGGCGTGGACGCGCTGTACTTGGAAAAGATCTTGTGGAGCGCAGCATCCAGGTCCTTCCACTGAAACACCTTGACGTCCTTCTCGATGTTGCGTGGCTTGGGAGCGCCGAAGCCCATGATGATGCCGAAAAAGGCCTCGCTCTCGTGCTTGCTTTTGCTGACGGTCATGGGCCGGTATCCTTCCAGGTTCCGGCGGATGCGGTTCTTTTCGTCTACCGGAAACTTGTGTGGCGCGTAGAGGAGCTGCTCCAGGAGGGAAATGGTGTCGACCGAAGTGACAAAACACGCCTGCCTCTCTTCCCACCAGATGCAGCTGACGCAGATGCTGTTGTGCGGGCGTTCCGACTCGGCCACCGGCTTGAACGACACAGTGATAACGTTCCCAGTCTGTTGCTTCTTGAACATGACAATCCTCCGCTTCTTTGCCCCTTCCTCGGCCGTCCAGTTCTCCGCCATGCTGCCCAGGTCCCCAATCAGCCTCAGGGTGGCCTTCTCCTGGTACAGTCCTGCTCCGTAGCCCGGGTACCCGCCGTTTGCGCTGCTGGATGACTGTCCGATGGTGCTCGTTCTGACAAGCTGTGGCGTTGCTGCCGTGGTGCTGTGTTGGAGCGATGTGAGACTGGGCCGGGTGATGGACGTGTGGGAGACGTGCGGCAGACTGGTTGACGGGCTTCGCAGGGAGTCGAGGGGGCTGTTGAACATGCCGGGCCACGTCCCTGCATGATGCGGCGACCGTAGCATCGGTGGAGCCCGTGAGTATGGGTCGGTCAACGTCAACCCTGTTCGGAAACCCGAGGTGGAAAGCACTCTGTTGCTGTTTTGGCTGTACGATACGTTCGCCGAGGCATTAAAGTCCTGCTGCTGGCCAGTGGTGCCGGTTGTCGAGACTGCAGGAGGGTAGCCATACGGGTTGGGTGCCGCGTCTGCCGGTAAGCTGTGCTGGTGAGCCGGTGGGCTCGTACTCTTTGACTGTGCGTCCAGGTGCTGGTGTGGGGGGCTCGCCCTGTGATGATGGACAGGTGATCGACCCGTGTTCTTGGGAGACCCAAACTCTGGTGGACTGCTGTCACCAGGCACTCCGGCACCCACGTTCCCACCTGACACTCCGCCCTGGTTTTCCTGGTACGAGAAAACGCCGCAGCTGTCTTGTCGGGCTAAGCCTTCGCCGCCGGAGCCTTCGACAAGAAGCGTGAGAGGTACATTGCTGAGCGACCTGCAACTTGTGCTTTGAAACTGGGGAGCCTCGACAGTCACAGTCCATGAAAAAGATCCGCTCCCATCACGGCCGTCCTTGATCACGGTTGCTTTGCATCGATATGATCCAAAGAG